TTCGAACATGTGCCAACGCGGACCACCAGGCTCTTGAAGATGCCTACTTCAAGCCCACGAAAGCTCTCTTCCAGCTGTGAGCGCGGCTCAAGAGGGCTGGTGTTACCTTGCCCTTGGACTCTGTTCCTTCATCCTTGGATAGTGGTAGTAGTAGCCCTAACAGCGCAGATGAAGACCTTGAGGTGATTGTTGACTCTGAGTGTGACGGTAAGCCGGAGAACGGCAACAAACACCTCAGAGCAAGGTTTGGTCGGTGCCGCACCCATAACGAGCAACTTATTATGCGACCTTGTGGGGTGATATTAGCGCGGGCTACATTTTTTGGGTCCGAGGCCGTCTCTGCTGTTAATGTGAGTTACACGCAGTCTTACTTTGATGCAAGCTAACATTTAAACTCAAGGAATTTGCAAAGGCGGTATTCCCTACTGCCACATCAACACCTGAATACTTCGTCTTTGACAACAACTGCAAGCTCCATGCTCATCAAGACGCTATTGGTGATGACCACTTTGCTGCAACAGGGATGCCTGTTGACGTGTTTCATTTCAACTCAAAACACAAGGAAACTGACACCTACTGTCAGCAGCACTGCAACCCCGCCACTTTCCCAGAGCTCATTTCCGGTGGCAAGTGGCAATTTAATACGTCAATTTGCGAACAGACGAACATTTGGCTAGGCGGGTATCAGGCAATCCTGCGGGACATGTCTGTACACCGGTACAACTTTTATCTCGATGAAATGATTAAACGTCGAAACCACTATGTTATCTCAGAGTTGGAGAGGCGAGGGCATTCTCCTTGGATGATTTCCATGGACACTCTGTTTGGTAGTGACTAGTGCATTGACTCCACCAGTGCTGTTTGCATTACATTGTCTAGATTGTTGTCATTTGTAATTCTATCTCTTATTGTATGTTTTTTGTCCTGTGTTTTGAATGAAAGCCAGAGTTCATCACTTGGGGACCGCACCATTCAGACAACGATACACCCAAAAACTGCCTCCCGAATTTTCGTCGTTAACGGTCAAGTTCTCTTCAAAGAACCCCCAGGATTGCCTGGCGCTTATCAGCGCTGGAATCAACAACCGCGTCACAGCCGACCAGCGCTCAGTAAGTGACATGTTTATCTTTTCATGGCCGACCCCATCTCAATCACTGGGCTCGTTCTCCCGACATCTAGAATTCATTAGGTGTATCCCCGACCCCATCTCAATCACCAGGTTTCATGGACATCACTCGCGGATCGCACCATTCAGATGTCAAGTTTCATGGACATCACTCGAGGATCGCACCATTCAGATGTCAAGTTTCATGGACATTTTGATGCCGCCGTCACATTCTCGAGTTGAAATTATGACTTGTAGTTAATTTTTTTTAACATAAGAAGGTTGGATTTCATGGATAATAAACAGAGTAGTTAGTCTACTAATTAAAAGGTGGTAAGGGTGGTAAGGCTTGATTATCTACGGGAGAATGATCATTTAACCAAGTGCTAAATGAATCAAATTGGGGACAACTCGTAAGATCTAAAGGAAATTCAGGATCAGTGGTAGCTGCAGTATTATTGTCCATTTTATCTATGTTCTCGAATAGTAATGCAAGAGCATCATTCATCTCGCTGGTTAGGTCAGTAGGGAGTGGCAATCCAGTGTCAGTGGTAGATGGTAGACTCAGAGGTGGGGTAGGACCTGAAGGACAAGGATTAGCCAACCACGGAAGTAGCAAATCAAATCATACATACACTTCGTGTCCAAGTTTGAGATGCTACCCAGGCCATTACTACCAGTAAGACTCGGAGCTGCATTAGCTTTGATTTCGGCCAAGAGAGTGTTCCACTGGCCGGCAGGACTATATCCTGCATTGACGGCACGTTCAACCCTATCACTTGAATTCTCAATAGCTGCCCGATAAGCAGCGCGATGCTTATAAAAAGTTGCCTTGGTATAGGTGCAATTTGGAAATGTAGTAGCAAAGAGGGCCTGGATCATTTGATCATCTGATACATTGATGAAGAGCTGAATCCGGGGAACCATATCACATGCGTACTTCCAAGGAAATCACACTCGGGCGCCTGTAGGGATGGTAGTGTTGGGTTGGACCATGGCTGGCGCAGGCACTACTACAGGTGATGTGTCTAAGTCGCCGGCAGTGAGTGACAGAGGTGACGTCACAGTGGGACTCGACAATAGGCTAGTGAGTGGTAAAGGAATGGGCGACTGCCGAGAGATGAGAACCGGGCCCGCGGGGTTGTTGCTACTGGCATTCCTCTGCCGCTTCAATGGTGAGGTCATCCCGTCCAATCGGGACAGATGCATACCCGTGGCACTAAAGGATCGTTTTGACGGAGATTGGACAGTTGCAGGTGCGCAACTAAGAGATAAAACCCTCTCAGCAAATCCGAGTAGCATATGATTGTCGGTCAGATCAATAGAACGCAGGAGGATGGTTGAATTGGGGGGACTGAGAAGCGGAGTCGTGATATCTTGCTCGATCCAGGTGTGCTGATCACTGCAATATACTGCAATGTAGTCTCCGAGCTCAATTCTCGTCAATAGCGGATGGTCTCCTGGCACGAACTTTCCAGGTGTGATGCACGTAAGCTTTACGAGGTGGGGAGGTTCATTGTTCTAGCAATATTCAAGTTGGCTAGTCAACACCAAGAAACCATCTAATGACCATACCTTCAACCAGAGCACTACATCAACCATATTGTGGATCATGATACTCAGACTTTGGTCAGCTTGAAAGTGTTGCTCAGCCACCAATGTCCGCTGGTGCCCGAGAACATAGTTCCGTGCATAATTGGGGTCTAATGGCCAAGCATAGTTTCGTGAAGTGGCTGGGAGTGACTGAGTACTAGTAGCTAAAGGTTGTGACGCACTCGCTGACGATGGATTCGATGTAGTAACTAGAGGGTGATCAAGTTGAGTAGACGTGGGGTTAATGGTGGCAAGTGGTGGTATGATCGAGTTTTCATGCTGTTGAGTAGCAACAAGAGAAGATGTGGCTGCTGACTCAGTGGACCCTACACCCTCCCGCCACCTCACAACACTGCTTGCAGTTGCATCGTATGCAGTTTTTGTTGGCCTTCCGTGGCTGAGTGCCTTGCTTCAAGTTGCGGCAGTCAGCCTTGGTACACAGGACCGTATCAGCCATGCAAACATCCAGCGTCGGCCACTGCTCGTTGTTGGAAGAAAAGTACTGTGAACGCACTACAAAATTTATACTGAGATGGCGATCAATATCGGGACTTGTCCAGGTGTAGGTCCAACTTACTAGTGACATAGTAGTGGCTTGGTGAAATAGTGGTGGGTCAGATGGTGATGAGGCAGACGGGCACGAGGCAGACAGGCAGACAGTGAGATAGTGGGGGGCAGATGGCGAAAACACTGGCTTGCCATTGTCATATATATGTCAGACGCTGTTGCAGGCAATGATCACAGCCGAGCAATGAGCTCCGGTGACGTCGTTGTTTGGCTGATCTACTGAGACCGAGTTGAGTCTACGCAAGTCTACGAATGGTCTACGAATGGTCTACGGAATCGGTTCACTTTCCACGGAAAGAATTTCTAATGCTCCCGGATTTTCTACACGTAGTCTATGGTATAGTCTACCCACGCACTCTCAAAGTTCTGGAAACACTGTAGCTATGGAGTCGGTTTTAAAACTGTATACCCTCCTTGACAACCTCAGCGCCCCCCGTTTCGCGAACTCCAGACTGCAACTTCCTTGCATCGCATTTCGTGTCACAGAAGTCAGACGGAGCCGTGGCCAAGACCAGGACACATGTTTCACTTACTATGTGAAGGCAGACGGGCTTCAAGACCTGCAGATCACCACAAAAGCCAGAGTGGGTCAATTCTCGTCGGCAAGACCTACCCAACAGACATTCCTGCTCATCCGTCCATGGAATCGTTGTAGCCTCGGGCTGCCCGACTTTGCAAATGACAAGACCATAACAACACGATTCTCACCAGGGTCCCCGTGCCTGTCAGACCAGTGTGCTGAGATTTATTCCATGTCACCAGCTTGATCCCAGTCCCCTGAGTCCAGCGCGTCAATGGATTCGCCGGATAACCCCCATGCGCCTGTTGATTTGGAAGCGAATGAGGGAGCGTTGAGGTTGATCGTTCGCCTTGGACAGCCTTTTGGTGCACTTTTCTTATCACAGCAGCGTGGTTTGGAGTACAAGAGAATCGCGTCAGATCACAGTATCATTGCACAAGTCAAGAACATAGCTTCTATCGATGACATGATGGGCGTCAGGACGCTAGAGATATTGTAGTCCCATGTGTTTCACAGCATGAGGATTTTCTTTATTCGTATGTTAGTTATATTTTCCACCCCTTCGTTTGTATTATATGCTGACTCTGGAGTTAGGCCAAACTGCTACTAGCTACTACTACAATACAACTCTGTGCTCCATTACTCCAGCTTGACACACGAGGAGTGCGGTGTCGTCGTTAATGCAACTCCCCAAACCAGTGTCACTCGGGCTGCGAGTCAATCGAAAGCACACATCACATCTCTGCGTACTGCCCAACCTTCGCGGCTATCCGTCGTGTTCACAAGGGCGAAACTACATGTAATATGGAGGTCTTCGGCAGGGTTGCGGAGCGTTCATTGACAACGAGGGGCTTTGTCCGCAATTTTATACCCGTTTTGATGTGGGTGTCTTACCCCCACTTGAAAGCATATTGCGGCACTTTCGAGCATGGATTCACCAAACAAAGTGAGAGTGTTATCCCCACGTTAACATTCTATACAACTGTTTAACCCATACTGTACTCCAAAATTGTGCAGGTATTCAATCTTTATGGTTCTATTTAGTTCCACGTCCTACAGTATATAAACTAGATTTCACCTACTGGTAATGAGACAGTTGATCCTTTTCCCCGAATAAATTTTAGTTCGGACAGTTCACTCTTCATTCGAATTCTGAGTCTATTCTCCCTCAAAAGTCAACATTCTCGTGTGAACACTTTCCTACAGTCGTTTGCATAAACCATTACGCAAACGACTGTAAGTGCCACAGTAATACTGGCGCGTGCACCGTGACGGCATCCGTTAGGGCACTCAACGAAAAGAACCGATATACGAACTACCTCCCTATCGCACATCGTCTCCTCTTTGCATTCTCTTGATAACTGGGGCAATAGTTCAGTCTTCGTCAGAACATCCGGCTGGGGTGATGGGTGCACATAGTTGTGACTTTCGTTGCTATACAAACCTTGTGGCTGTCGAATGATCGTACCCAACTTGAAGTTGGGTCATATATATATATTAACTCAGTATCAGACCACTTTTTGACCATTCTTTTCATTTCAGGTAGGACTCTATTATAAGGGCTTCAAGTCCTGGACTCCAGTATCAACCTTTCTTCTGTTCCACTCGTCATCGAAAGTGTCTCTAGGCTCTAGGGTACTACAATGGATACTCGTCCAAGGGTATTTTACCTTCCAGACACCATGACCAACTGGCCCTGGCCTCGTGCGATGAATCCTCATTTCGAAGTTGTGAAAGCTGAAGTCGATGCTTTGTTCCGTGAATCTAAGGCTCTGAGTGCCGAATCACAGGAAGCACTCGACAAATGTGATTCTGGTTCGGCCTCTGTTTTTACTTGCCCATAACTCTTTAATGGACACCTGCTGGTTTTGTAGCCCGTTTTGCGGGACTAAGTTATCCCAATGCACCAAGAGGTTCGTCTTCGACCCTAGCTTGTGTTCCTGTAAACTGCACATCTCTAATTCTATCCTGGCCACATAGAACACTTTCGAATCGCCTGCGAGTTTATCATTGTCCTCATCATTGTGGACGAGTACACCGACGTTGCAAATGGAGCAGTTGCCGACGCAATGATGGACATCGTCATTGATGCCCTACACAATCCTCATAAGACACGACCAGAAGGCGAATGCATTCTCGGTGAAATCGTACGACAGCAAGTATCTTCAAATTGCTTGATCATGCGTTCTGAAGTCTAAGGAATTTTTGCGTAGATTTTGGGCTCGTACGATTCAGACCACAAGCCTGCCTTTTCAACGTCACTTCATTTATAGCTATACCGCATACCTTCGTGCGGTAGCTGTTGAGGCTCTCGACCGCGACGAGGCTCGTTGCCGTAGTATCGGTGATTATATCAAGCTTCGGCGGGATACATGTGCTGCAAAACCTGCCATCGCACTATATGAAATGGGAATGGATCTTCCCGATGACGTGTTTTATCATCCCATCATTGTCGAACTGGTTGAATGCATTGCAGAGTTGACATTTATCGACAACGTAATTCGCATTGAAGACGTTATCTGCAGCTGCTAACAACATTCTCAGGACATGATCTCATACAATAAAGAGCAAGCGACGGGGGACGCAAACCATAACTTGATCACTACTGTCATGGTGGAAATTGGCCTCGACAGAAGCGGTGCGATGGCTTGGGCAGCACGCTATCACGCTGAAGTCGAGAAAAGGTTCACCGACGGTCTTGCGAAGGTGCCTTCATGGGGACCTTCCACCGACGTTCTAGTCAAGGAGTATCTTGATGGGATGGCAACGTGGGCTCGAGCAAACCATTGTTGGTGCTACGAAACTCAAAGGTCTCGAGAATGAATATTTTTGATAAATGATTACTTACCCTGATTGAAACTGCAGATACCTGGGTACAAAGGGCCCAGAGATACGACGAACTGGTCTTGTCCCATTATTGCCCGAAGTCAACCGCAAAGCCGCATCCGCGGCAGCAAAGGTCAATGTTACTGATTTATCCATGATGGATGTCACAGCAGACCATAAGCCACCATCTAGAAGCTCCATACCAACCTAACGTGCTCCACAAGCGTTGGACCCATCTTCGCCCCAGGTGACAAATGTGATGCAATCCACGTTTGTTCAGAAGAATGGGCATAGACGGTAGATAGTATTGCAGCGAATATGAAATTCATCTTGAGGTGTGGGGCCCATTTCGGAGTTACCACGCATGTACCTCACGTTTCGTCCACTGATTGTTCATCGGATATGCAGTAGTTTATAGCGGTGATGAATGTAGCTGCTGGCACAAAACATGCCAATAAATAATACATGCATTAAGGACTACATATGTACAACAAAAGTGATTCGGTGTGTTTGATTGGCGTAACAAATTGTGATGACCATAAGTCCAGAGTGAAAAGTCCTTGAATCGAGTCTCTAGCTCAGTAAACACTATGATATATGCATACGTGCTTCATGGAAGTAGCGCCAGTAACCAGGAAGTAAATGTGCGACAGAAAACCAAAGCTTCGGAAAGTATTTGGTCAGGCCGAAATTACACAGATGAGGGTGTGACTCACACTATACAGCTTACACGACAGACAGTCCGCCTGAGTTGTCTTACACACCATGAATCGTAATCCGACAAGTCCCGAATAAAATATGAATGCGACGCTGCAGAATGCGTCCATCCCCCAGACCTGAGTAAGACAAATCGACCACATCGGAAGTCCTACAAACATGGACACACGAGCTGGAGAAGGATGTGCGATTGGCAGAGTTCGTCTGCCTATGGAGCGGTCTCCTTCCTGATCTTTGAAGTCCTGTGCCTGGAGCGTGGTGGCAAACATGGCGATGCTAAGCAGCACAGCTAAGAGAGCATTAGGCTCTAGCCGCGACATATCTCTGCCTAGTTGCAATAGTCAGTAGGTGTTGTCTTATTGGATGTCAGCTACATACCTGCAATGAGGGTGGCCCCAACCTGGAAGCAAGCATACCCCAAGCCAGTCATCAAGTTTTTTTGAAAACCAATGATGACTATGGGCTTTGAATTCATTGTACCAAAGAGTGAGCACGGTTATCGCTAGGCTTGCGCTAAGTACTTGGATGCTGTAGAACGCTGATGTTACTAAGCATATGGGGACCAGGCACCAGCGTAGATAGACCGCGTCTCGTAAACTGATGTATCCCGTCGGTATTGGCCGGCTAGCTTTGTTCCTGCCATCTTCTGCTGGATCGATTACTTGATTGGCAACGTTGAAATGGAGGAGGTGAAGCCAAATCCACCAGACTACATGAACGGATCGATAGGGGCTGTAGAGGGGGGCTGCCACCACTGCGAAAAGTGTCTGTATTCATGATCTCAGAACAGGGAGTTACTGGGAAATGCCAGTATTTACCGTTGGAATGATCGTCGTCAGAATGTCATTCTGCGTGAAGAGATGGAGTGTCAATAGGGATTTCGAGATGGCTCGTCCAAAAACAAGGGCGCTCATGATTTGGGAGATTGTAACACATGTTCCATATCCTTAATAAATGCTGTTGACCAGGAGAAGCAGAACCAAAATTAGATGTTTGGACTTGATCAGAGGCACTGTGCGAAAGTACAGAAGGGGTCAAAGAAGCTCGGCTGCAGATCCTGAATAGGACGGGAGGAACGATCTTATTCCATGCCAGCCATTCGACAGGGTGGGTTTTCTCGGGGACCTACGAAATAACTGTCAGCTCGGAGAATTGTTCCTACAGGATGGCGATACGAAGTGGTGCGGATGGGCGGTCCGAGCGGCAAAGAGGAAATAGGACTGATGATGACCACGCATGCCAGTACAGATCTTCTCCCAGTCTTGTAGCGTTGTGGACGGTTCAGGGCCACTTCGGAAAATTACGTCAACGATTGCCCAAGGGTATTGCGAACAGGCAGAGCGTTAGATGATGTACAAGAAGCAGCTTCCACGCTTATTTCCAAAGAAATTATGGTGTGTGGGACGCCGCCAGCCGGATAACATCAGAACACGTGGATGAGGATGTAGTCCTTGTACAACGTACACAAAGTAGTATTGTAGGTATATGGTCGCACAGTCGCTGGAATTTGAAATTATGCCAGCTGTCGTCAACTTGACCGTGGATTTCATACACGACAGCACGCACCAACTCCACTTCGCGGGCCGCTGGTACGGATCGCTCCGATGAAATATCCTAGCGACAAAACAAAAGTAGTCACTGAACAGTCAGCTTGCATAAGGTGAACGCCTTGCAAACATACCCCTTTTAACCGACGTTAGCGGAGGACTTGGGCGCCTCCACCGATAACAACATGGAGAGGCGGCTCAAGCGCCCTTCAATCGCTGTCAAATCAGACATGAGAGCGGCGTGCCTATTTTCCAGAGATTCAAAGATGTTTTCGTCGCTTTGCAGATTACTGCTTGCCGAAAATGTGGTAGAGGGGAGGTTTAACAAACGAGTAGAATAGGATCCAGTCATTGTGGGTGTGACACTTCTTCGACTGAGTATGGACATTGCAGAGCCGGGGCGTGGACTTGGGCTGGGACTTGGTGGTCCATCCGACTCGGTTTCCTCTGCTCCCTCAGATGCCGAAGCAACCACCACGGCTGGGAAGTCATCGGAGTCATAAGTTTTGTTGGTGATAATAGGCTGGACACCAAAGCGCAGCTCTTTTCGGACGGTGTTTGAGAAGCTTCTGCCACAAGACTGTATCAAGCGTGGCTTGCGACCGCTGGCGAGGACCTTTTTCCTGGCGCTCATACCGATGCATTCCACGAGTTGCTTCATGGCTTCACGATCTGAAACAGCGCGCCGCTGAGTTGTACGCCGAACAGTGCCCGTGCGGGGAAGGGTGTGAAATGCTGAAGAACTATGGGGACGAATAGGTGTTGCAAAAGCGGAGAAATGCGTGGGAGCGCTGGAAGCTTTGAGTGATAGATAAGGGCTAGATTTCCCGGAAGTGGCCTGTAAAGGCTGAGGGGTGGCCAATCTGTCTGTCTCGTATTTTCGAGATGAATTGATTGGCAGATAGAATGCATCCTTAGTAGGACCCCACGAAAATCCGATAAAGGCCGACTCGGCTCGTGGAGATATGTGATGAGGTGTGTCCCGCAAAATTGATATTCCAAGCGAAGTGTTAGGGGAAGAATGAAATAAAGCAGAAAACGCAAACGGCTGTGAATTTTCTTCACCCGTGGGATCCGAGGGCTCTATGGGTGAGACGGGCGCTGCTGATGCAGAATATGTGAATTGCGGCACATGGATTTCAGACGGTGCAGGGCCTACGCAAGAAAGAATGGATATAAGGAGAGCTATTGATATCCAAGACTCACGCGAATCTACACAAGACCAGTCAGTGTTTCCGAAAAACTGCTGCTCTGTTATTTCCAGCACGCTACATCTCCCAAGACGGTGATGCCGATCAGTGAGAAGTCTGTATCCATGTGGCTTGAGTGATGGTAGCATGGATAACTGCACAACAGACCTGCGAAGTAACTCCTTTAGCTTTTCGGAAACGGGAATTGCTGCATTGAAGCGCAAGCTCGTCTGTCCAAAACAAGGGGTCAATGTAGGTACAAGCGAGACCAGTGACACTGCAGTACCTGGTAGTCCAAAATCCTCAGATAAGTAGTTCGGATGTCTTTAGCAAAGAAGGGGGCCACTCCATATGTCAATTCGTACAACATTGCGCCAAGGCTCCACCAATCGACCTCCGAGCCATACGAACCAGCCTCCTTGGAGACCGAAAGAGGAGAAACACCGTCGTCCGACAACTCCAGGGCAAGGAGGGCATCTTCATGGGCTTGCAGAACTTCAGGAGAAATGTAATCACAAGTACCACAAGGAACAAGGGTATATTGTCTCGGGACTGACTGACTCCCGTCAGGCTCTGGAGGTGAAAGAGGCGCAGCAGACCCGAAATCTATTAGAAGCATGTGATTATTTGCTGTAAGAACGAAGTTCTGGGGTTTGATGTCACTGTATTGCGTTTATATGGGTATGGAATGCTAGAGAGTGACCCTCACCGATGTACAAAACCCTGGGAGTGACACCAGTTGATGGCGCAGACTGCCTGAGGAGCCCACCAAAGTAAGTCTACCTCAGGAACTCTACCTTCAGGGCTCGACTCAAGTACATCCCATAATGTGCCTCCTTCGGCATAATCCATGACAATGTTGAGGTGAGTGGAGGTCTGGAATGCACAAAATAAGTGCGGAGCCCACGCAGAGCGCTCACGTTTCGCGCGCAGAAGAATATCCCGTTCTAACTGCGGAGAGCATTGCTGCAGAATTTCTCAGTATGGAAAAGCCGTTGATGGCAAAACAAGTGTTACTTCACGAGTCCGCTGGGCAAAATGTTTCTCGATAGATTTGCGAACATATACGCGACCATTGAGCTGGCACGTCACTACGTCAATCTGAACAGACAAATCAGTGTATACGCAACACATGTTCTTTACGCACTTACTATTCCAAATTGGCCATGGTCCAGTGTGCCCACTACGATAAGATCTCCGTCTGAGAAACGGAGAGATTCTATCTCTGCAGTTCTCGCTATTTCACCGGAGGTTGTGATTAGAATACCGCCAAAATGCAACTGGCTCTTACCAGTCCTTCCTATGATCCGCTGACCATGCAAAATACGATCCAAGGCAAGGCCTTCTTCATCATCATCCGAGCTATTGAGTAACGAACCCAACAATGTTTTCCGTTTTGTCCAGGATAGAGACATGCATTAGGTCGAAGATGAAGGAAATGTCGTTTCTGGCTCCTATAGCTAGAGAGGGTGAAGGAGATAATTCCAGGAAGCTACAGACCAGTCGTTATCTGGCTAAGTCTAAAAGTTGTGTTGATTGTGTTCCTGGAACATAGTTTCCTTCAACTCGGCTTTTTGCGTGATCTACTTTAAACTCGTCCACAACATTGACAACGTCCATATTACACACTGGCAACCATATTGTTAACATTAAAATTATTCACCAAACATGAAGCTTGTAAGGTGAATATCGCGCTTATTTCTATGATATTGAACTAACCCCAGAAGTTTTCTCTATTCGAGCATTGCAAGGGTCGGGCGCTGACCCCGTGTTGTTTTCATCAGATTCTTGATGAAACTCAATAATGAGACTGTGACCATCGAGCTCAAGAATGGCTCACTAGTCCATGGAACAATCACTGGTTCGTCTAATCATCTTGTTTACTCAAGTCTTGCAACCCTCTAATTATTTCCAGGTGTCGATATGCAGATGAATACCTACCTCAAAACTGTCAAGATGACAGCCCGTAATCGAGACCCAACATCCCTCGACTCCCTATCTATTCGTGGCAACAACATCCGGTATTTCGTGCTCCCTGATGCACTTCCTTTAGATACTCTCTTAGTGGATGACGCACCGAAGCCGAAAGGCAGGAAGAAGGAAGAGCGACGCGAAAGGGGAAGGGGACGAGGGATGGACCGTGGGCGTGCTCGGGGAAGAGGACGAGGAAGGGGCTTCTGATGGTATGGTTAAATACCAGGATCATTGGGAGATGAAGAGCGCGCGTAGGGCACACCGCTCAGCGGATATAAATCCCTCTATGTATATCTAAACGCCCCGTCGTCTTGTCCTTCTGAAAAGTGGGTGCTACTTTCAGTAAGATGGCCGTGTATTGAGGTGAATATCGATAAGACCATAAGCTGAACATAAATGGCATCATCAAAGAATGTGATTTCCCGACGGACCTTGTTCGAAGTTGGAACCATTCATTCAAGCCATCAGTGTTGCAGGTGGTAACAAAGGATGAGTCCGCTTCAAATCGTCACAAACCTTTTCCAGGAATCCAACTTGCGCTAGTACTTGCCTAAGGAGCCTGCCAGAGACTTGGAGGGGTAGCGTTTCTTCTTCACTGGAGAGGTTATCTACTTAATTTCATATCCTCGTTTGCCAACGGCCACATGGAGCAACGATCCCCACTCAGATGGCTCCGACACCCTGCCAGGTCGGACTAAGTATCTCCCTTCAGTTGGTCTGGTTAGGGGAAACAAATAGGACCATTCGGATTTGGGATATGGAAATAGGGATTAAAGTGGGAAAACTCATGAACTTTTTGGAGGAACACACCGATAGTCACTAGTCAGACTTCTCGAATCTTGATTGGCTGTATCAATATTAATGGGGTTTTCTGGCAACATCATGATGACATCGGATGTGATGTGTATACGGATGAAGGAGATCACTGATACCAGTCACACAAATTTTGCCCCCCCCCCCCTCTACGTGGTTTTGCGTGGTACTTAGACCATATCAAGGTCATCCTCACCAAACTAGTGGATGACATCGATGCTGTTACACGAGAAAGGACCGCAGTGGTGGATAAAGACGACGGTCCACGCAGACACTCTTTTAGTAGTAGTGCCTGTCTCGATGAAGTCCGAGTCAATGTCAACAAAACTTCGATAATGGCCGCTCATGCATGCATGTCTGGGTTGGCGACATTCCAGACGAACTAACCAACATTGCATTCGCAAAAACTCTTGTGTTTCAATTATCGGCCGTCCAACTACATCAGCCGCATCTACACATCGGTCCGGTTCTTGACCACAACTTATCATACTCCGTCCCCTCATGAACTTCCGCCTGCAAAGAAGGTTCATGTCGCGAACGAGAAGGGGAAGGAAAACTTGGAAGTGAGCGGCGTAGCCGACATCTAAAATGATCGTTAGTCTCAGGCTTGTCTCAGGCTGTAGCAGTTCTCAAAAACTCTACATGTCTACTTACCTGTACTTGCATAAGCACAGCTGGAACGTAACAACAATTCATTATCAGGACCGCCCGAGCACAACGTCCGACCAAGCATGGTCCTAGTAGACAGTGGCCCTCCCAAAGGTGAGAGCTACGCACCAAGGGCCTGCCCTAAGTGCCCTTTCCACAGCTTAGTCAGCACGTAGACTAGGTTTCACCATGTTCGTGGCTAGCATCATCATTCACAGCTTGTCCCCAAGTTGGCTTAGGCTGCTGGCCCCTGCTCCAACGGCAATGCCGGCCCTTAGTTTCTCAATAAGAATGCAGAGTGATGGTACGTGAGAAAGCAGGGTAGTGGTCTGGGCCTGACGCCGCAGTGTGAGTCTGACGTGTGGCATCTTATGTCGCTGGAAACGGGTTCTGCCAGTGAGTGTTCAACTGAAACTTGTCCGGTTCGAACGTTCGCGACTAATTAAATATTATGCTTGCTCACATCCATGATCAGATAATGATGCTACGTGTACTCAAAAGACAAAGTGCGCGTACCGTGACCATCTCAATTACATGCGTCATCGGTTTAGCACAGCACTTATATCTGCTTAGTCGAGAGTATAAAATTTGAACAACTGATGGCAGAACCATTGTTTCTCCATACCCCGAAAGACGACGGACTTTGATGAGCCAGAGGCCAAGCTTGAAGCTCACTTGGACATTATCAACTCCTCTGCACGCCAAGCAATCGCAGAATACGAGAACACCGGACATGGGGTCCCCAGTGCCGATATAACAGCCTTCCGGCCCTTCGACCTGATGACAAGATACACTTGCCTTCAAAAAGGCAACTAGGCTGCTCGAAGGTGCATACCATCAATTAAGCTCATACTGGTACCCCCAACATACGGTGATGAATGTGAGTACCGACCGTGAATGATATCTGTTTTGTTGCTGATTTCATTAATTCATTTTGAATTACAACTGGGCGTGCACATGCATTTCCTTGCAAGCGCGCATTGCAGATCAACACCCGGAAGGTCTTAGCATGGATAATCTGGCTGAAGCAGTCAACCTCGACGAGATCAAAATTGCACGCGTCCTACGAGCTTTTGACCCTCATGAACGGCTTTACAGAAGGTAGTACGCATGCTGTCTGTTGATGATCGTCTGCAATATGCTGTGCATTAAACAGTCGAGCGAAACGTCTTCGCAAACAACCGACTATCCCCTCATACTCAAGTCGTCGAACAAAACTGGGTGTTATGCGCGACTTCATTTACAGGGTGTCTCAAAAGTTACCCGAGTTTTCTACGATACTATGATCGACGAAGAATTTGCAAAATCACATAAGGTTGACAAAGTTCCCCGGCTATTTGGCCTCCAGAAGCAGGGTATGAAAGGTAACAACTACGAAGTGATGAAAGACAACGTGAGTTTTTGCCATCATACACCCCTTCGCTACCCTGACGCGTTTCATAGGAAGAGAAATGCGACGTGTGTGTGAAGTTACCTATCCTCAACTGATGGCTCACAGAATCACTTGTATAAGATTTTCAGAGCCATGCTCAAAATTCCCGAATATTTCGCAAGTTGTAGTCATATGTCTCATGGTGTGAGCATGATAATGTTATACTTCAGGTTGTTGCATCTACCACTCATACCTCACGCAAGTGCGCGTCAGCTTCTTTGCAGGTTGTACATCCGTATTGACACTCGGCAGCTTGGTCTCATTGTGACCGAAGTACATCCCGATCATCATTCTTAAGCGAACGCAGCATATCAAAAATGGATTGATTTCGCGTTGAAAGATCCCCTTCCACTTCCCTCATGTCTCGTGTTCGTAACCTCGCCAGCGTTCTTTGCGAGTTCGTAATGTGACTCTTTATCATCACGAGTTTCGCACTGGCAGCATTCTTTTAGACTCGTCATGTAGCGTATCCTTAAAGAATTACCCGGATGACTACTTTGACGCCGTTGGCTGGGCATTCACCGAGTCAATTCGGGCTGTTCAGTGGTGGTTGGCAGTAACACCAATTTGCGACCGATCATGATTTGCTTTAACGAGCACCACAAAGCATCCAGGTACGGGTGAGGACGGCCATCTGCAATTGCAAGAATTAGTCTTTATCTTGGAGCGGTTCCAGACGCTTCTCGGGTGAGTGGCTTTCCATGAGCAGGCAGTCTATGAACTCCAACTCCATGTTTCCCACCACAAGATATTTTCGTAGGTTCCGATGGGCACCAGGCTGCTGCAAAGGCTCTCACAACTCACCACCAACATCTCCGATACTCCGTACTACGCCTCCAAATGCAAGCTTAAGAATTCGCAAGACACCTTACTAGTCTACCATTTATCCCTCGATAAATGGCTCTAGATTTGACGGTTTTGCTTCCAGATACTCTGGTGATTTGGCCTGTCTTAGACCTCATAGAGATACTTCGCGGGGAGTCCACGCACGGGTATGTTTCTGTAGAGGACATGACAACGGTCATTTTACATTACCTAGGAATATCTATTGCCATGCTTTAGTGGATCAAAGATTGGCAGGGATATTGCTATCAGGACCCCGTATTGATAAATAGGTCAGCTACATATTTTCCTTCTGTGCAGGTATCTTTTTCCTTCTTCGTGCTCCAAGAGCTGAAACTCTGGAATCCCGTTGAACCAGCCCCCCATTTCAGATCCAAGGCGTTTCTGCGTTTGAGCCGCATTTTCTGGGTCAATAAGACACGGTCTCAAGCCACGAGCAGCGGCGGCCTGGTCCGCTAGCATCTGAACCTGGCAGCATTTTTCCAAAGACATGAAAAAGAAAACGGTAGATTCAATCGACTTGGTGGCAACAAGGATCCCGTGGTTCTATACGGAGGGGATGATAAGCAGGTGAGAATATTTGACCAAGTTCTCAGATATACCTGGAGGATAACAGCCTGGAATCTTGTGAGCATCGACATAGGTATGTAAATTGGTGCATCTGCAAACCTTGTTTTGACCCATAGCAGTCGCTATAGCCAGACCTTCCTCGCGGTCTTCGACGATGCCACGAAATTCGCTATATAGAGAATGATCCTATGGATTCATTGAATGGGATATCTCTTTGAGAACGGTGAGTGCGAGATACCTCATAAAATGCACAGCTGTCCTGAGTAATGGGATCAAGGGGCACCCCGAGGGCGCTGAACGCCTTAGCATGTATGGTGTGCGAATGCGCAGCACAGACAACATCTGGGCGAGCCTCATAAACGGCCGAATGGATCATGTATGTCGCCTGGTTGAGGAACCGGGAGGGTCCAGATTCCTTTTCCTGTATTTTCCCTTCGTGGTCCACGAGAAGGAGGAGCTCAGGCTGCATGAGCTTGAAGTGAACACCCTGTGGCAACTGGTGAGTATCATGATTTTATCTTAGCACGATAATCAATTACCCAGGGGTTGACCCAGTAGCAATCTGATCTGATAGGGTCCTTTCGACAAAACAATTAGAATGACACTGCACTCCATGTTATCAGTATCATTCTTACTCGGACAGTAATACGTCCAGCGACGCCTTCGTCATAGCCGTACTTTGCTGCGTTACATGATGATGATGGGCGCTTCCTGTTACGCTGAAACAAGGAGCTCACCAAAGATACGATATGCTTGAGCCAGGCGAAATTTCAGGTACACTCGATGTTCGAATGGGTCAGAGAAGGTCGGAGGAAGCGGTATATTCCTTCCGAGGCGGATAATCCTTCCTCTGTCCTCGTAGGAATGTTGCTGGCGTCTCTCGATGGTGCGGTCATGATGACAGTGGATGTGGAATTTCAAACGACTCGGAGAGTTCTGTGACAGGCCCGAACTTCTATCATTCAATTTAACCCTGTCAGCGACATATGTCATCGATGTCATCATTATAGATCCAGGCCCAATTCAGATTTGAAGCAGATGCAGCACAGGTGTAACTCCACAACTGCGGATTTGAACCTGGCGCGTTCATCACATGCACAAGTCAGCTTATCGCACTCAAACAAGAACAATGTGCTGTGGTGCGCATCACTTGGGCACCACCAATTTTGTGCTAATGTCGAAACAATGTCAGAATTTTATTGGCAAGTATGCATAACTTGTGTTCTACAATACCTAGCCTTGTATTCATAAATATGACGGTATGGCCTCAGAAATGCACAACTCACCACCATCTTCTCCGATAATCGATATCACGCCTCCGAATCCAAGCTTGAGAACCGGGTCTTTCGCGAGATACCTTAGTTATCATTCATCCATTTCAATGAGTAGCTCTCTAGATTTGACGGTTTCGCTTCTGGTGACGCGTCACGGTTGACTGGCCTGTCTTAGACCTCATAGAGATGCTTCGCGGGAATCCATACATGGGTATGTTGGAACGGGCACGGACTGCAGAGGAACCACAAGGCCAAACCTCTAGCGGGAGGCTGCGGCTCTATCTAATGGAGGTCCGACTATGTAGTCACCACGACACCCCGCGAGACTACCAACTACGAGCCGGGGCTCCTGCTACCGCACCAGGACCCTGGCACTCCCCAGGGCCTGCGCCAGACGCCAGACCGCGCCCTACTACAATGTTCCTGCGGAGGAAATTATAATGGTCATTCTACATTACCTGTGAATACCTATGCCATATTTTACTGGATCAAAGATCGGCAGAGATATTGCTCCGTGCTTCAAGGCTCCGTATTGATAAATAGGTCAGCTACATGTTCTCCTTCTGTGCAGGTAAGTACTCGAATCTCTTTCCTTCCTCGTGCTCCAAGAGCTGAAACTCGGGCATCGCGTTGAACCAGCCTCCCATCTCAGCTCCAAGGCGTTTCTGTGTTCGAGCTGCATTTTCTGGGTCAATAAGACGCGGTCTCAAGCCACGAGCAGCGGCGGCCTGGTCCGCTAGCATTTGAACCTTGCAACACTTTTCCATAGACATGAAAAAGAAAACAGTAGATTCAATCGACCTGGTGGCGACAAGGATCCCGTGGTTCTATATGGAGGAACATGATAAGCAGGTGAGAACGTTCGACCGAGCTCTCAAAGATACCTGGAGGATAACAGCCTGGAATCTTGTGAGCATCGACATAAGTATGTAAATCGGTGCATCTGCAAACCTTGTTTTGACCCATAGCAGTCGCTATAGCCAGACCTTCCTCGCGGTCTTCGACGATGCCACGAAATTCGCTATATAGAGAATGATCCTATGGATTCATTGAACTGGAATATCTCTTTGAGAACGATGAGCGCGAGATACCTCATAAAATGCACAGCTGTCCTGAGTAATGGGATCAAGGTGCACCCCAAGAGCGCTGAACGCCTTAGCATGTATGGTGTGTGAATGCGCAGCACAGACAACATCTGGGCGAGCTTCATGAACTGCTGAATGGATCATGTATGCCGCCTGGTTGAGGAACCGGGAGGGTCCAGATTCCTTTTCCTGTATTTTCCCTTCGTGGTCCACGAGAAGGAGGAGCTCAGGCTGCATGAGCTTGAAGTGAACACCCTGTGGTAACTGGTAAATATCATGATTTTATATTGGGACGATATCAATCACCCAGGGGTTGACCCAGTAGCAATCTGGTCTGATAGGGTCCTTTCGACAAAGCAATTAGAATGTCGCGCACACCATGTTATCAGTGTGACTCTTACCCGGACAGTAATATGACCAGCGACGCCTTCATCATAGCCGTACTTTGCTGCGTTGCATGATGACGACGGGCGCTTCCTGTTACGATAAAACAATAAGCTCACCGAAGATACGATATGCTTGAGCCAGGCGAAATTTCAAGAACGCTCGATGTTCAAATGGGTCAGAGAAGGTCGGAGGAAGCGGTATATTCTTCCGAGGCGGATACTCTTTCCCTGTCCTCGTAGGAATGTTGCTGGCGTCCCTCGATGGTGCGGTCATGACGACGGTGGATGTGGAATTTCAAACGAGAGTTCTGTGATAGGCCCGAACTTCTATCATTCAATTTAACCCTGTCAGCGAGCGCTCAATTGTAAGCTTGATCATATGTCATCATTATAGATCTAGGCTAATCCAGATTTGAAGCAGATGCAGCGTAACTCCACAACTGCGGATTTGAAACTGGGGCGTTCATCACATGCACAACTTGAAGGTCAGCTTATCGCACTCACACAAGAGCAATGTGCTGTGGTGCGCATCACTTAGGCACCACCAATTTTGTGCTAATGTCGAAAAAATGTCAGAATTTTATTGGCAAGTATGCATAACTTGTGCTCTACAATACCTGGCCTTGTATTAATAAATATGATAGTATGGCCTCACAGAAATGCACAACTCACCACCATCATCTCCGATAATCCATATCACGCCTAGACTTGTAACCAGTCTGACTATGGGTCAATTTGAGATGGTATTGACGTAGGCAGACTGGTCGAACTTGAAGTGATTTGGCAGGCGAAGCGAGGAGTTTGAAATTTGGCAGATACCGGTCGTGCCGCTTTGGGTAGTCATTGTACTAGTATTTGGACAGCGTTGACCATACAAAGTTCCTTCATTCACATCGTACAAAGTATAGTATGCCTCTCACTGATCATAGCACATCAAGCAACAGTACTAAATGTTAACTAGGACAATCAAATGATACCATTTTATGCCTTATACCCATCCATGATGCAGCCTGGACGAGGAAGCAAAAATTCTCGCTGTCCTCAAGATACTTCGTGGATTGCGAATGACGTTTATATTGCACTCAATCTCACAAAGACCCTCCATGGCAACTTGGAGGGAAGGGTTTTTTTCGGGGTAAGGTACTTGTGCAATTTCTTGATGTGTTGAGCACCGACGAGCGAGCGAGTGAGCAATTTCGTGTCAGTTTACGACCCCTTGCTATTGCAATGGTTGTTGACGAGGTTGACGCTGAGATGGAGGCCGCTAAACATATTTTTCACATGTCGTTAGGGTATAGCACGGGTAAGGGCCACACCGCGGGTATGGGGGTCACGGGTATGGCGGGTACGGGTACGGTGTCAAGATGTGCTACCCGTGGTCATACCGTACCCGTTTGCACGGTATACGGGTATGTTCACGGGTAGCCGCGCTATCTCCGAATGTTCTCCGCGGTGTTATATGTTGGACATGACAAGGATTCGCCACTCACTACAATCCTTATTTTTCGTAGGGTCGTTGACTGCAACAGTAACGGTTGGACATGACAAGGGGACCTCAACTCCCTTTCAGCCATACGATTCTCGTCATTTGTCGACCCTCAGATCTCGTTCTTCGTCACCGTCGCCCCATTCTCAGTTCGCCGTCTCCGAATCTGTCAAAACCTGAGCATAAGTCGTCAATTGTTTTGATATGGGGCGGTTTGTGCTGACCCACACTTGCTAGTTCTCCACCCTGGCCTGAGCTCGAATATTTCCGACTACGGAGATGGGAAGATGAATGGATTGAAGCTGCCGAAAATCTCGTCCGAGAAGAGTACATAGATCGTTACAAAGACCAGGTCTCACCTTCGACTCCAGCTGCACATGTCTCGGCAGAAGACAAGGTACGACAATGTGCTGATGACTTTGGTGACATATCTCTTGGCACAGCGGCATCTCTAGTAGATGAGCTTGATGACTATTTGCGGCAACCAGTGGCGAATACCAAAGTACCACTGCAATGGTCGGTCCACAATCAAAAAACGTATCCGAATTTGCACCGGATGGCACTTGATTACCTTAGTATTCCTGGTAGGTTGTGCACCATCGCTCTCGCTAGCATCACAGCTTATGTGTTACACACCATAGCTACTTCGACTGCAGTGCAGTCGAACGTGTATTTTCGCAAGGCCGGTACCTTCTACACTTCACTCGAAACCGCTTGTCTCCGTCATCGACCCGCGCATTCCTCTGTCTTGGCTCGTGGCTCCGCTGTGATCTGGTAGCACCCGAGGACCTTACTAAGATCATGAAGTCTCTGAAGAAAAGAAAACGAGAGGACGAGAGTGTTGGGTGAGGTTATTAGACCTACGTAATGTTACTATTTCTTGTATGTGTACCCGCGGGTAAATGCACACCGCGGGTAAGCTGCTATTACCGCGGGTTAGTACGGTAATACCGTACCCGTACCCGTACGGGTACGGTGTTCATCTTCCGACCCGCGGGTATACCCGTGCTATACCCTGCATGTCGTCAAAAGATGTCACCCCCGACTCAAATGAGAGGAGTAGTTCGGAACTACTCCTCTCATTTAATCTCAACACGTTGTTGACAGAGCCGTTACAAGAAACCACTCCGTTGCTACGTCGCATTCTTCTGTCAGCCATGCAGGCGGTGCGAGCTGTGAAGGAGAACAAACATCAGAATGTTGATCGGACGTTGTTATCCTTGGGAAATAAGATCGAGTTGCGAGAAGGCCTCGAAAACTTGCTGTTGTGTCGTTGAAAGGGCTCTCGTAAAGTCCATCGGGAGATCTTCAATCGCATCTCGAGCAGCGAGTGATAAAGGTCGTACGGAACTCATGGTTAAAACTTAACATATTATACAGTCTGAGATCTGAACGACGGTAGATGCATAAGTTGTACTACATACGATCACCACCGGCACGACCGGCACCTGCTAAATTTCAAACTCCTCGCTTCGCCCTGCCACGCCACTCCGAGATCGACCAGCCTGGCTACACCACTCGAGTATCCGTGGTAGTATACGCCAGGCTGGTCACGAGCCTAGCAGCTACGCATGCTGCGAAAGAGGCCGTTTGGTTGCGTCGCTTGATCAGCGAAATATCTCGTCCGCTAGCCCATCCTATCGTCCTCCATTGCGATAACCAATCAGCTATTGCGCTTGCCAAGTCCGGGGCGTTTCACGCCCGGACAAAACACATAGACATTAGGTATCATTTTATTCGATTCTCTGTTGAAAAAGGTTCGATTTTATTAGTTTACTGCCCTACGGACGATATGACTGCAGATACCCTTACAAAACCTCTTCCCAGCTTGAAAGTCAAGCACTTTGCCTCCGCCCTCGGACTACGCTCGGTTTGAGGGGAGTGTTGTATGTTAAACGCTCGCTATAGTCCTTCGGAGCCGTTGCTTATCTAACTACTAGAAATTTTCGTTCCCTCGCGCATGTACCTGCTTTCCTCAGTTGACTCCGTCTGTCGCTGAGGTTAGTATCATTCCATTCAGTACCTACGTATCTAACAACATCTGTAGCTGCGTCTGCTACAGGTATACCCAATATAACAGTTGACTCCGTCTGTCGCTGAGCTGTGTCTGCTACAGCGTTCAACTTAATGTTGACTCTCACCAACATCACTGGGCTTGACCTATGCCTTGCTTGTGTCGGAGTATATCTGCTTAAGCAGGTGTTCAAGAAGAATCCCGCACCATATCCACCTGGACCCCCGGGGTTACCTCTCTTTGGGAATGCCCTGTCGGACATGCCCCACATCAAGCCCTGGCTCACCTTCACGGAGTGGGGCAAGAAGTATGGTAAGTCCTTCGTGTTTTGCCAAAATCATCATGCATTTCAAAGTCTTGTCTGCAGGTGATATCTCGCATGTCCAGATTCTAGGTCGACACATTGTTGTGTTGAACTCTGCCAAGACTGCAATGGAATTATTGGACAATAAAAGCTATATGTACTCTGATCGCCCTGTTCTGCCTATGGGTGGCGAACTTGTTGGCTGGAAGGACTCTTTGTCTCTCGTCCCTTACGGCGACCGTTTTCGCCAGTACCGTAAGAACATTCACCGCGTCATTGGCAGTCGCGCCGCAGTCGACACATACAGCCAGGTCGAGGAGGATGAGACTCGCCGATTCCTGAAGAATGTGATGACGAAACCCGACCAACTGCAGGAACATATTCGGCAGTATGTATTGCTTATCTTTGCATTGGCATGAACTCGAATTTGTACCATAGCACTGCTGGTGCTATCATTCTGCGCATTTCTCACGGTTATAAAGTTAAAGAGAACAATGATCCCTTCGTCGACCTTGCAGACCGTGCTATGGCCCAAGCCTCACAGGCCACGGCTCCCGGTGCCTTCATGGTTGACATTATGCCATTCTGTAAGCTGCAGTGTTCCAAAGTTTACTTCTGATCTCCTCACCATTTTAGTGGCCAAGGTCCCCGTGTGGTTCCCTGGTGCTGGCTTCAAGCGCATAGCACGTGAATGGCGCGAGACCCTCGAAGAGATGGTTTCTGCACCCCACAAGTTCGTCAAGGATCAGATGGTGAGCAATGTGTAGTTTTTGCGATCATGCGTTGAAGTTTAAATTTTACAGGCTGCTGGCATTGCCCCTAAATCTTTCACTTCGGATCTCTTGGAAATCGATACTTTGACGGCGGAAGAAGAGCACGTTGTGAAATGGTCTGCGTTATCTCTATATGCTGGCGGTGCCGATACGGTTAATCCCTCCCTGCATATCTCTGATCAACATCTTCTGAGACACCTATTTATTTAGACAGTTTCTGCGATATACTCGCTTTTTCTAGCTATGACACTTTTCCCTGATGTGCAGAAGAAGGCTCAGGCCGAAATAGATGTTGTTGTCGGTCCCAATCGCCTTCCCTCCTTCGCTGACAGAGATTCTCTCCCCTACACCGAGGCGCTTGCCAAAGAAGTACTACGCTGGCATGCTGTCCTCCCTACCGGTATGCGGTTCCTGTCCATAACATTATTCAGTTGACGAAGAGCATCTCAATGATAGGTTTCCCCCACCTTTTGACTGAGGACGATATGCATGATGGGTACTATATTCCAAAAGGCTCCTTGATAATGCCTAACATATCGTTAGTACACCCCCTTTTAATCTACGAGCAGAATTCAACATTTTGATTGCGACAGGTTCATGCTTAACGATCCACGAACATATGCTAAGCCCTCGCAATTCGAACCTGACCGCTTTTTGGCTAGGGATGGAAAGGAGAGTGAGACCGACCCTCGCACGATCTGCTTCGGCTTCGGCAGACGGTAAGCATGGAGTTGGTTTTGAGGAGAATGCTAACTTTCTGCTTCGCAGTATTTGCCCAGGTATGCCCACTTCACAGAAGCGCTGATAATCAAACCTGTATCCTGACGTTTCTGACTTTTGATATACAGGGCTCCACCTCGCTGATGCCTCCATCTGGATATCCACCGCGATGTCACTGGCCGTGTTTGGCATTTCCAAGGTTGTCGAGAACGGTATTGAGGTCACCCCTGAGGTTGACCCCTTATCAGGCACAATCAGGTATGTCGCCCAGCTTATCGTGTCTGGCGCGGCTCTGGATACAACACACTCGCAGCCACCTCAAGTCCTTCAAGTGTTCTATTAAGCCTCGCTCTGCGACAGCCATTGCGCTCATCCAGCAGGACGCCAACTACTAAGCCTGCGAAGGTAAAAAATTCACAAGGATGTACTGCCATGGGTGGCCATTTTGACACCTACCATCTAGGTCTGTCCGAATAGTTTGTAGTTTACATCACAGGATTATGGCGTCACATCCCTCCTGGTTTCTTGCCTCATTTGTTCACAATGCATGCTCTGTTTCCAAAAGCACTCACAGTCTATGACAATTAGTGATGGGGAGGGTCAGGGCTCAGGCCTGCAGGCCCACCCAGCCCAGCCCTACGGAAGCCCAGCCCAGCCCTACAGAAATCCAGCCCAGCCCTATGAGTGGGCTGATCAGGGGCTCGACAACCTTGAGCTTAGTGTCTTAATTACACAGTCTAAGCTGTTCAAGCTCGATCAAATTGAAATTGGGGTTTGCCGAACTCTAACTTAGAATAGATTACAAGGTTTTTCCTAATGGGCGTAAGATGAATATAAGTTGTATGACTCCGATACGATGATGATATCATGTCACACCATTACACATTGTGCGAGAATGCTATGGATGCAATGCAATGTGTGCGCGATACGATGCGAAGCTTCGAAGGATTGGAAGAAACGTTAAACGTAAAGATGGAAGGTACGACGCAAAAGCGGTGCATGTGATGCAAGGAGCTAACAACGCCAAACAATGTGACGACGATGTTGTTTTCATTATCTACTTGATCTAGCCTCATGATATGATATGATATGATATGATATATCAACTATGGTACCGAACATAAAATAATCAGAACACATCGTACCACGCTATAGTGAGTTTTCACTGGCCCGGGGGGTCAATGCAAGGACTTGGACTTGCTATATGGTAGTCTCACGTCAATGTAAAGCTTGAAGTGCGGTCAATTTTTTTTCGTTAATTCTGCCACCTGCCACACTGGCAGAACATGGTTCTGCCAGTTCTGCCAGTTCTACCGGCAGAACTGCTTCAAAATACAATACTACCCTTGATGGGTAGTACCCGGAGTGTCCATCCCTAGTACCCGCCACTATCTAACCCACTCCCTTTGTGCCGGTGCGGGTACATGACCGGGTACGGGTATATATATTCTCAAACACCCCGGAGTTTACCTGTGCATTTGCCCACTTACATTGTATCGCTTTTTGACCATTTTTGACCGTTCATTTCAGGTAGGAATTATAAAGGCTACAAGTCCTGGATTCTCCAGCATCGACCTTCCTTCTATTCCCACTCGTCATCGAAAAGTGTCTGTAGACTCTAGTATACCATGGATACTCTTCCAAGGGTAACCTACTACCTCCCAGAAACCATGACCAATTGGCCCTGGCCTCGTGCTATCAATCCTCACTTCGAAGATATGAAAGCTGAAGTTGATGCTTCATTCCGTGATATCAAGGCTCTAAGTCCTGAGTCACAGGAAGCATTCGACAAATGTGATTTTGGTCCGGCTTCTGTCGCCTCTCAATTTTGAATATGACTGACATGTATCATGATTGTAGCCCGCCTATCAGCTCTGAGCAGTCCCAATGTGCCCAGAGGTTCGTATTCGACTCCTGTTTATTCACACACCACGGAACCCTCATTACATTCCTGCAAAATAGAAGTTCTTCGAATCGCTTGTGACTTGAACAATGTTTACTTCATTGTGGATGAGTACACCGACATCGAAAACGCGGCAGTCACCCAGGAAATGTTGGGCATCGTGCTCGATGCTCTACACAATCCCCATAAGACACGACCAGAAGGCGAATGCATCCTAGGTGAAATTGTGCGACAGTAAGTGCTTCCAAATTGTTCGATGATGCATCTGGAGTCCACGTCATTTTTGTTCAGATTTTGGGCTCGTGCAATCCAGACCGCAGGCCCGTCTTCTCAGCGTCACTTCATTGAAAATTTCACCACATACCTTTCTGCACTGATCCTTGAGGCTACCGACCGCGAACAAGGCCAATGCCGCAGTATCAATGACTACCTGAAGCTCCGAAGGGACACGAGTGCCATCAAATCCGCTGTCGCAGTATGTGAAATGGGAATGGAGCTTCCTGATGAAGTGTTCTACCATCCCATTATCGTGGACCTTGTTGACTGCATCACAGAATTGTGTCTGATTGACAATGTAAAGTCATGTTGAAGGCGTGGCGTGCAGCCTGCTAACGGCCTTTCACAGGACATGATTTCGTATAACAGAGAGCAAGCGACTGGGGACAAAAACCATAACTTGATCACTGCTATCATGATGGAACTCGGCCTCGACATAAGCGGTGCGATGGCTTGGGCAGCGCGCTATCACGCTGAAGTTCAAAAACGATTTATGGGCGGTCTTACTCAGGTCCCTTCTTGGGGACCGTCCATCGATGTGCTAGTCCAAGAGTATCTTGATGGAATAGCAATTTGGGCTCGAGGGCTCCATTGTTGGGGTTTCGAGAGTCAAAGGTCACACGAATTTTCCATTCGCATGAATCATCACTTATGCCGACAGGAATTACAGATACTTTGGCACCAGGGGCCCAGATATACAGGAAACCAGGCTTGTTACATTGTTGCCAAAAGTCAAATGCAAAGACGCATCTGCAGCGGCCAGGGTTAGTGTTGCCGATTTGTCCAAGATCATGCACCATGAGCAACCATCTGGTGTGCTCGGGTTTGGCCTATTTTCACCTCTCGATTAATCAGTGTAATGCAAAACAGAATATAGTAGACTTTCGGAAATACATAGTCTTGGTCGATCTGATCAGTGGTGACTCCGATATTAATACATTAACGTTTAACTTTGAGTGGGCCCGTGGCACCTTGGGACGCGACCTCATCCTGATACCTCAGCCGAACTTAACAGCAACCTCAAGTATTCTTGAAAGTATCCTCCGTATCATGAATCCGAGAGCTTCACGAGTAGACAACATTCTTCATGGACTATCAACGTTCAACCCTGCATTAAGTATCACATCTTTTCAGCAACCCCAGTTTTGCCTCCATATCCTCCTTCTTTCCGGTACTTAGATCGTACATATTTAAGCGTCCAAATATCATGATGATCTGCATCTGATAATCGGCTGAGTGTCGTACTCGATCATTGTTTCGTTAGTCAACCCAGCGCCTCTCTTATCCTCTCAAACAAACAAATGACTGTAGTACTTCACATGGACTACTAGACTCGTAACCAGTCTGACTATGCGTCAATTTGAGATGATCAGACTGGTCGAACTTGGAGTGATTTGGCAGGCAAAGCGAGGAGTTTGAAATTTGGCAGATGCCGGTCGTGCCGCTTTGGGTAGTCATTGTATTTGGACAGCGTTGACCATACAAAGTTCCTTCATTCGCATCGTACAAAGTATCGTATGCCTCTCACTGATCATAGCGCATCGAGCAGCAGTACTAAATGTTAACTAGGACAATCAAGTGATACCATTTCATGCATTATACCCACCCATGATGCAGCCTGAACCTTTGGCTTGGATGGTCAATCCTTCGGATTCCTTCCAGCCTGGACGAGGAAGGAAAAGTTCTCCCTGCCCTCAAGATACTTCGTGGATTGCGGATGACGTTCATGGACCTCATGTTGCACTCGATCTCACAAAGACCCTCCATGGCAACTTGTAGGGAAGGTTTTTTTCGGAGAAAGGCACTTGTGCAATAATCAATTTCTTAATGTGTTGGGCACCGACGAGCGAGCGAGCAACTTCGTGTCAATTTACGACCCCTTGCTATTACAATGGTCGTTGACGAGGTTGACGCCGAGATGGAGGAAAGGTTGTACGGAACTCATGGTTAAAACTTAACATGTTATACAGTCTGAACGACGGTAGACGCATAAGTTGTACTATATTTACGATCAAGTACCACCGACACGACCGGCACCTGCTAAATTTCAAACTCCTCGCTTCGCCACTCCGAGATCGACCAGCCTGGCTGCACCACTCGAGTATCCGTGGTAGTATATGCCAGGCTGGTCACGAGCCTGATGGACTACCTGATAGTATTGCAGGGAGTGTGAAAAAAATATTTTTAGGTGTGGGGCCCCTCTCAAAGAGTTCGCAACTAACACTCATCTTCCATGCATGTACCTCACATTTCGTCCACTGACACTAGTTGAAGTTCATCAGACACGCAGTATAGCCTCAGGCAGCTCTAACACCATGCTTCGCACTACCAGATGTTTTCGTGGGTTCCGATGGATACTGGTGCGGCGGCAAAGACTCTCACAGAAACTTTTGCAGGGTTCACCACCATCATCTCCGATACTCTATATCACGCCTCCGAATCCAAGCTTGAGAACTGGGTCTTTCGCGAGACACCTTAGTCTACCATTCATCCCTCTCAATGACTGGCTCTCTAGATCTGACGGTTTCGCTTCTGGTGATGCGTCACGGTTGACCGGCCTGTCTTAGACCTAATAGAGAGGCTTCGCGGGAATCCGTATATGGGTATGTTGGAACGGGCACGGACTGCAAAGGAACCACAAGGCCGAACCTCTATAGCGGGAGGCTGCGGCTCTATCTATCGAGGTCCGACTATGTAGTCACTACAACACCCCGCGAGACTACCGATTACGAGCCAGGACCCTGCCACTCCCGGGGGCCTGCGCCAGACTGCTCTACTACAATGTTTCTGCGGAGGAAATGATAATGGTCATTCTACATTACCTGTGAATACCTATACCATATTTTACTGGATCAAAGATTGCCAGAGATATTGCTCAGTGCTTCAAGACTTCGTATTGGTACATAGGTCAGCTACTACATGTTCTCCTACTGCGTAGGTAAGTACTCGAATCTCTTTCCTTCCTCGTGCTCCAAGAGCTGAAACTCGGGCATCGCGTTGAACCAGCCCCCCATCTCAGATCCAAGGTGTCTATGCGTGTCAGCTGCATTTTCTGGGTCAATAAGACGCGGTTTCATTCCGCGAGCGGCGGCGGCCTGGTCCGTTAACATTTGAACCTGGCAGCACTTTTCCAAAGACATGAAAAAGAAAACGGTAGATTCGATCGACTTGGTGGCGACAAGGATCCCGTGGTTCTATACGGAGGGAGATTATAAGCAGATGAGAACATTCGACCGAACTCTCAAATATACCTGGAGGATAACAGCCTGGAATCTTGTGAGTATCGACATAATTATGTTAATCGGTGCATCTGCAAACCTTGCTTGAACCCATAGCAGCCGCTATAGCCTGACCTTCCTTATGGTCCTCAACGATGCCACGAAATTCGGTATATAAAGAAAGATCCTATGGATTCATTGAATGGGATATCTCCTCGAGAACGATGAATGCGAGATACCTTATAAAATGCACAGCTGTCCTGAGTAATGGGATCAAGGGGCACCCCAAGGGCGCTGAACGCCTTAGCATGTATAGTGTGCGAATGCGCAGCACAGAGAATATCTGGGCGAGCCTCATGAACTGCTGAATGGATCATGTATGCCGCCTGGTTGAGGTAACCGGGAGGGTCCAGATTCCTTTTCCTGTATTTTCCCTTCATGGTCTACGAGAAGGAGGAGCTCAGGTTGCATGAGCTTGAAGTGAACACCCTGTGGTGACTGGTAAATATCATGATTTTATATTGGGACGGTATCAATTACCCAGGGGTTGACCCAGTAGCAATCTGATCTAATCGGGTCCTTTCGACAAAACAATTAGAATATCACACACGCCATGTACAGTCGTCACTCTTACCCGGACAGTAATATGTCCAGCGACACCTTCATCATAGCCGTACTTTGCTGCATTGCATGAATAACGACGGGCTTTATGTCACGATAAAACAAAGAGCTCACCAAAGATACGATACGCTTGAGCCAGGCGAAATTTCAAGAAGGCTCGTTGTTCGTATGGGTCAGAGAAGGCCTGAGGAGCCGGTATATTCCTCGGAAAATCCTTGTCTGACTTCGTAGAAATAGATGGTGCGCCGGGCATGATAATAGTACTTGGATGTGGGATGTCACACGAAGAGTTCTATGATATTCCCGAACTTCTTTCATTATTTAACCATGTCAGCGAGCGCTTGCAAGCATGATCATATGTCGTCGATGTCATCGTCACACTGGCAAAAGATCCGACTGGGTCAGACTAGAAGCAGCCGCGGCATAGCTGTAACTCCGCAACTGCGGCTTCGAACCTGGGGCGTCGATCACATGAACAAGTCAGCTTATCGCACTCACACACAAGTCACTGCGTATATATGCAATGTGCTTCTCCTCGGGCCGTTCAAATTGGCAGACCAAATAAAAGGCCCCTTCTTTCCTTCGAATTCTTTATTATCGTAGACAATACATGACACTCCTATCCGGCATTAATGCGAAGTTGCGAACCCAGTACATTACATGAAAACACAAAATCGAAGTATAAAAAAAGACAAAAAAAAGATAGAAACACAATGATTAAAGAGCCATGGTAACGCCTAACAAGGCAGGCCAAAGAATAAACACTACGCGAAACTTGAGCTTCTCAATATCGATCCGGCCTGCCGCGCTGCTGCTGCTGCTTCTAGAGGGTTGATCGATGTTCCCGACGTCGCCTGGACGGAGGGGCGGTATCGCGATGTTTGTTGGAGATGGCGTTGGACCAGAAGACGAGGAAGGCGTGTTGGTTGCCTGGAAGAACAGATTTTCGCTGGTAGTAGTAGAATTCGCCACAGAACTCGCATTCGCATTCGTCACGGTTGGAAGAGAGTCGCCTTGGACCACGATCCTAAAGTCCGCGCTGTAGATGATCATATCGTATGGGGTATTCGTGATGTAACGCAGAGTGCTGTATATCAAGGGTGAGCGTGAGGGTCGCACCCAGTTAAATTGAATCACGTACAAATTCGAGCCATCATACACAACACTCCTAGGTATATCCAACTGACACGACCTAGCACCAGCACTCACGTTCGTAGCGAGTGTCGCGAGGTACGTCTACACAAAAAAATATCACCGTGACGATCCGTCAAGTAAGTGCCACAAGAGGGAGGAGAATAACGCACGTCAGAATCACAATAAAGCTGTATAGTAATCCCCCCCATATCGCTAAGCAGCGGATACGTCCCATCATCTATCCAACTTCGTCAGAGCACTCTGTCCAGAGTAGTACACGGTGTTCTGGATAGGCTGAGTGGGGTACAAGGACGCGGAGACTAGCCTGAGCGTGAGGAGCATCATGAGTTGAAGCACGCCGTGGAACATCCTGAACGCTGATGGAATCTGAACCTGGTATGGACGATATGACAGACCTGCTGATCACTAGTACTGGCGGCGCGGCGGGAGAATGAAAGAATGAATGAGGGTTCTCAAAGACAATATGAACGAATACAGCGAGAACGGAACGCGTCACAATCACGTGTCTTGATTTTTATGTTGATGAGTAAGTACCTGGTATAACTAACGATCCTAGTCGGAAAATGTAAAGCCTAAAACATAATCCAGGGAATAACTATGCTTGTACATGTAGCTCTAAGAAAGAAAACACGCCGCAGTATCCAGAAATGAGCGAGTGAGGGGCGCGATGAGAAAGAGAAAAAAGTTCTGAATAGGTGTGCGATAAAAAAGGGTTCGCGATGTTTGTAAAATGGTTCCGACCAGGTGCCCGACGAGACGAGAAAACGCAAACGAGAACGAGAACATGGAGAAACGTTCAGAAAAGGTACCGGCACAGCCATTATTAAAAAATTCATAAGAGGAAAAAATCACAACTTGTGAAAACGAGAAGATTCAAGAGTCACATCACATTACTCGGTCTTTCTCCCGAACTGCTCGAATCCAGATCTCGCCAGGACGACTACCAATGCATGTGAGCCCCCCACAAAAAAACCACAAAAAAACAAAAACTTACCTCTTCTCCCTCAAAACCCTATAAACGCGCCTACTCCCCTTCTCCTTCTCATTCCTCATCTTCGACGTAACATTATCCGCGCGAGGAGGGAACGCGCCTGGTCCGCATCGCGCTTGGAAATCTGAAAGACCCTCATTCGTGCCTTCGGCTTCGACGATCACAGTCCCGTACCAGCCAGGATCAATGAAAAAGCCGGCAACGTTCGGGAATCGGGAGGCGTAGGTTTTGGCTATGCGAGTAGGCGTGCTGGGTGGTGCGGCGAGACGGGGGGTCGGATCGTGAATGAGGAACGGTGTAGCCAGTGGACGACGCTGTGGAGCGTTCCGTTAGGGCTATTCGAATCAATATCAGCATGCATTGTTGTAATAGACCAGTAGAGGACTCACGTCGCTGTCGTAGCCCTGTCCTGCAACAACTGCAAGTTCGCAGCAAGCTCCTGGCCCCAAGGACTAACGTCCAAATAAACAAGAGGATTACCCGCCGGATTCAAAGCAGCATTGACACCCGTCCGAATGAACGCGATGGAAATATGACGGAGAAAACGCGAGACTGTGGAAATAAGGAGACAGCTCGCCCATCGGGGAGTACTTGTAATCAAGGTCCTAAACATGCACCATGAGCCAAATCAATCGCGCATAACGACAAAAGAGGACTCACCACAAGATAACTCCCATCCCAAACCATCCTCCCCGAATTCCCCTCATCACCCACAGCAACATCCCACACCACATCCCCAACCCTCAACAACTTCAACACACCAGCCCTCTTCAGCTCAGCTTCACACTCCATCACGCTCGAATCAGATAACCACTCCCCTTCAGGGGAAGGAACGAACACCCGCAAGAGCGGCGCACGGTGGAGTCGGACCAAGGGAGATTGGAACGCCCCCTTAGTAGAAGCAGAGACCGAGGACGACTTGCCACTGGAATACAGCGATGTCGGGGATGGGGTACGATTCGAGGAAGACCGCACTACTTGCCCGTCACGCGTAGCAGGTCTCGACGACACAGGGCTAGTAACATGTGACCTCGCAAACGCCCGCGCCTCACTCTCGGCTTGCGCCCTCAAGCGCAACACGACTCTCGTATATGCACGAGTGGTCATAGCAAGCGACAAAATATCCGGGACCACAACTTTGGGACGTTCTCCTGGGGTCGCGGGGTTGGGGATACGGGGCTGAAGATATGCTTCTGCTAGTTGGGCGTATTGGTGCGTGGGCATTGAGACGCCTCGCATGTAGTCGTTTAGGTCCTTTAGTTTGCGTTAGCACATCACATCACATCATAAAGTAGGGAGAACTAACCTTCAAAGACAGAGCAAGCGGCTCCGCCCACTCAAAGCTCCACCTCTTATACCCAACAGTCCCCAAAAAATGCCCAAGCACATACTCCCTCAACACTCGACTCTCAAATAGAATCCTCACCTCCTTATTCGCCGCATACAGCGCACACCAATCACCAAACGTCAGGTAGGCAAGGAGATGCGGGAGAAGCGACGCATCAGCAAGATGTGAGACGATGGGGTAGAACGTAGGAGGCTTCCTCGCGAGCTCTTCTTCCAATCGTTGTTTCTCTTCAGCTTCTTCCTTTAGTCGCTTTTCTTCTGCCTCCTTCTCCATTCGTTTTTCTTCCTCTCGTTGGCGCGCCTCTTCTTCCTTTCGTCGCACCTTCTCCGCTTTTTTGAGACGGACATCTTCCTCCTCTTGAAGAAGCTCAGCTTCCTTGCTCATCACTTCCTGCTGAGCGGTCACGTCAGCAACGACAGGAGGACGCGTCTTTTCGAGCCATTGTCCTCGGCGCTGCGTCCGTGCGGATTTATAGTCTTCGGGAGAGTCAGGGGCTAAAGGCGACTTGGGTCGTGCCATAGGCGACTTGGACCTCGGTGGCAAAGGGGACTTTGGCCTTGAAGGCGTCGCCGGCCTCACAGCCCCCTCCTCACTTCCACACATTTTAACAACCTGCACCCCCTCGGCCTTCTTGAACGGGTCCTCCTCCAAGAACAACGTATCCTCCGAAAACAACGCATCCGTCGATATTTTCTTAAGTACCAACTTGGCAGGCGCAGACGGTGTGGAAGTAGAAGAGGAAGGAGTAGGAGGCCGCGATTTCGTCAACACGCGAGGCTTGAGGCTTTCTTTACTCGTCGCTCGGCTGAGTTTACGCATGGGGTTACGTGCGCTTGCGTCTGAGGAGACTCTGAGACGGCTTGCTGGTGGTCCTGCGTCAGATGAACGTCCTGTTGGTGCGTCTGACGTACGCCCTGTTGGTGCGTCTGACGAACGCCCAGATCCTACGTCCAAAGAGATACGCCTCCCAGCTGCAGATTCAGCTTCAAAAGCAAACGGACTACGCCCAACCGGGCCCGAAGCCAAAACTCGTCCCTGTCCCTGCCCCTGCCCCTGTGCAGAAGCAATGATACGCTCCGACCCCCCGCGCACCAATCCAACACGCTCCGAACTGAAAGGAACACCAGTCGAAGCAGCTGACAAAGGTACAGGCGCGCGCTCCGTGGAAGGCACAGGAGGCACATTAACACCTCTCCCACCAGCACGGTCTAGACTGGTATACTCCACGGGAGCAGACGGGTAACTAAGCTTCCCATGATCATGATCTATGACACGCCGCGCTGATGGTGCGGAGATGCACGTGGCATTCACAGAGTTGTCATGTGCGCTGATGGGTGCTTGTTGGTGCTTGATGATCATGGGTGCTTGTTGGCGTTGGCTACCAGCGAGCGCGTTTTGGTGTTGGATAATGGATGTGCGCTGGTTGGTCGATGAGTTTGGATTTTGATTGGGCGATAGATTTTCTTGTTGCCCCATGGAGGTAACTTGGTCCTGTCCGATAGCCATAGCAGCGAAAATCAACGGTCCTTTCCGGATGGGAGCAGCGCTGATTTCTATCGAAGTCGAACGGTTCAAGTTGAGCTGGAGGGGTTGGGTGTTCGGGCGAGGAGGTATCGCGTACGTACTGGGGGGCGCGCGAGTGCTGGGGGGCGCGCGATGGGGAGTAGCACTTGGTGAACGAGCAGTAGAAGGGGAACGGGCAGGACCGGCAGTAGAGGATGACACCACTGACAAACGAACGGTGCTAGAAGGCGGCGCGACTGCCGTCGTTGTGGAGCGAGTACTAGGCGACCGGGTAGTAGTCTTTGTCATAAGAGTCGTAGTCGTAGTGGGCATTAAATTTCGTTGGAGATTTTTGTCGCCCAGCGTTGGCGGACGTGTAGTTGGAGGTGCTGGGACAGCGGACAAGGGACGAGTCTGAGTCAAAGTTTGAGTTCGGGCGGTACTAATAGGAGAAACAGCGGGTTGCGAGGTAACGTTCTAGCGAAAATATTAGTTAGTCACTAGCGCCAATAAAAAAGTAAGATAAAAGCATAATTGGTGACTCACGGAGCTACCAAGGGTTCTAGAAGGAGGACTAACCGGGTTAGCAGGGTTTGCCGCTAATCTTTGTTGAGCCGAAGTAGATGGCGATCGACCTTGAGGGAGGGTGACGTCAAGGTGCTGTGAAAGTCAAACGTGTCAACGGCATCCGAAGGACGGAGATGAAGTGGCTTTCGCAAGGCGGGGGTAATAGAGAAGCGTATCGTGCGACGGTATGAGATGAATGCATACAATGCGCACTCCTCCCCAGAACGTGTACGGTTAAAAAAGAAAAGCTTACCTTGATAGCCGGGGCGATTGAACTGGTAGACGTAAACGCGCTTGAAGACGAGCCTGATTGTGTGAAGCGAGTTGCATCTGTGTGATTACTGCTACTGCTGGAGCTAGAACCGGGTTTAGGAGCAGCAGAGATTGTATTTGGGGGGTGGGTTGTGATTTTTGAGGGGTGTTGGGGTGCCATAGGGGAAAGATGATCGTTGCGATCCTGCCGTGTGGAAACAGCACGGATTTGGTGCGCGTCGGGGTCTGTGAGAGGTATGAAAACATGATGATATGATTAAAGCAAGGAACATACCGACGAGTTTCACTTGGGGAGTTAAACCCGGACCCGTATACTTGCGACGAGTGACAGGTAATATTAGTGGCTGTACACGAGAAGGCAAAGGTTGAGGAGGAGGGTCCGGTGTGGGATCCTTCTTTTGCTCTGGTAGGAGTGCTTTCCAAGGATCCCATTCATCCTCTTGTTGTGACTTTGCCACTGGCATGATACAAGAATCCAACAGAGAAGATTCGAGAGTGGATGTCGCGAATCTAGCAAAGAGAGGTGGTAGTGAAGGAGGTGAATCAAATTCAACGGGTTTTGACGGTGCCGGATGTTCAACATCAGCATTCTTCCTGAACTTGCGCAGGAAACCGGCCATTGCGAGTGGGGTGATGGAAGTACCAGTACAAGAAAAACGAGCGTGTTGGGTTTAATAATAATAATAAAAGAAAAGGTTTAAACGTGCCGAGAGACTGAACGACACAAGGAATCTAGTACCTCGGATACACGTGACCTAACGTTTCCTAAAACGTGTTACGGTATAATCTCATTCCGGATGTCAATTTAAATAGATTCCGATTTAAATCCACAGATCGTCCATGTCAGTGTAAGGGGTGACAATTACCTCAACCTTCCCTTCCGCCTCTTCTCTCCCCGGTACATCCGGTCACCCAAAAATTAACCACAACAAATCGGTCATAACCTCCGAAGAACACTCGGAACAACAACACTTCCAGCCAGCTCCCGCCGTTCCTGTGCCACCATCATCTTAGTCACTTGCAGTCTGATCGGAAAACATTCAACGTCTTGCGACGAGACGCGATCGCGGGGTACCTTCATCATATTCAAATTGCGCTCTATTGCGATGACGTTGACAATTGACAGTGCAACACTACGTACAATGATCATCGCATCCCTTACTTCACATCGAAGCCTCATCACATGACCACATCTATTGCACTCCCCACCGGTACTTCCCTCTCCGCCCTTCCCGCGAAGATCATTTCTCTCTAGTCAGGTTTGGATGCACCATGTCCATCTAATGCATATGGTCATCCCCTAACGTTTTGATAACCTTTCAGATCGGATGTCAGTATCAGGAATTCATTAGCTTCATTGTCTCGATATCCCGCCTTTGCGCACGGAATCTGATTGAGCTGGCTCTTCATGCGCATGAGATCTAATAGAACTTGAACTCCACCATCGATAGCATGTGGTCTATTCAATATCACTCGTTCATAATGCACTTCGATCCTGACGTTCCAATGGAACCAAGTCCTTGGGTTCTCTCAGTCTTGGCCTTCCGTTCCCAAGAAGCGCATGTGCATCACACTCACCACCACTCGCCGAAACAACTTAGTCACACGAACATACCCCATGTGTCTGAACCTCCCTTCTCCGCCCTCGTCCAATTAACGGTCACTGGCATAAGCAGGTTCCTTCAAAGTTCTAAGCGCTAAGCACGCCTGAGCTGAGAAGCATTCAACAAGTTACAAAAGAACGTGATCAATTACCTTCCAATATGTACATACTAGTGTCGACATCCCGCCTTCACGCAAGCAATCTAATAGTAATGGTACCTGTGCTTGATGATAACATATGGACCAATCAGTCATACATTCAAGTTCCTGGGCTGTCCACGCACATTAACATTACTAGTAATTGACTTGATGATAACGGCGGAATCAATCAGTCATTTCGCGTTGAACGCTCATTCAAGCTGCTGTGCTGGGCTGCACTTTGATCATGCTACTAACGCGACAACTCCCCGCCAAGCCGTCGGGTGCCTTGTGCATCCCCGCTCCGCACCATGACGTTCCCAAGAACCCCTACGATCACACGCCAACCTGAACACCGAAACACCCGAAACGATTCAAACAAAACGTGCTCCGTGGGTAGACCAACGACTACTCACGAAGGGCCCCGTCCCGTCCCTCCCGTCTCTGTTCCATCATGATCACGTTCCAACTGGATCACCTGACCAACTATATATCATGATGCCGACGAGATAGGAGACAGGAATTTCATGTTCGCCAAGATTGACGTCACCGGATGGGAGGTGCCCGTGTCCGAGTCCGAGTCCGCAATCACTCAAATTTCTGCTATTGCTGTAGATATGATGATCAGTACTATGCATAGCTATAGGTGATCGCATCGAGTCTAATAATACCGATAGGGATTTGGATTTAGATTTGGACGCATGAATTCTTTTCGCTGCGGATGCGATATTGATCGTGTGGATCGAATATATATTGGTTTGCGGGACTGGTAATAGCACTGGTACCGGTCTTCCTATCATAAGTATAGCCGGAGCCCCTAATATGTTCGTCGTGATTCAATGATGCACTCACTCATCGCAAGGACTTCTCTACTTAACGTGCTCATAACACAAAACACGACAACGTCCGCCCGGGGATATCTCAAGTCCAAATTCAAACAGGCGTTGATCACTTCCCAACGGTGAACCCGTCATCCCCACCCCTAACTGCCACGAGATAGGAAACAGAACCACTCGCTCGAGTTTACCGTTTCATTCCCGGATGATGCCACCATGATTGCATCCCGAAACTAGACTCGGGTCATAGGTTTAGTAAAAGCTATGCTGATACCGATTGCGCCTTCCCTTCCATTAAGCTCCAAGTCTAATAATAGTGATTTGCAATGTCACGTTCTCGTTTGTATTCCAGATACGAGTGGATATTGCTATCGTGCGTTTGGTCGCTCGTTTGTAAGTGGAGGGCTTCGATGGGGAATGGGGATGGGGATCCGTGCTATACTAGTCTTGGCGGGTCTGGGCACGGGTATGATCGGAGCTACTGATACTAGCTAGTATTATTCGTATTCGCGAACCTAAATGATGCCATTAAGTGAAGTTCCATTAGGTGGTTTCGTATCAGTACTAGTACTTATCGGTATCGGCATCAATCACGCCACCACGGTTGACGTCCTTTGACGCAGGGCAGTGAGACTCTGGGATGGGAGAATACTGTGAGTTAACAGATCGCGAGCTTGGGAAATCAGTAGACAGACTTGGCATTTGTTGTACTTGAAACTTGAGTCTTGTAGTAAAACTTTGATGATCGTTTCATGTCAGGAATCGCGTACCAAGAGTTTAAGAGAACTGCGGTGATCTGACACCGCAGACAATGAGACTGTAAGTCGGTCGTCACGTCCGCATCAGTTTCAACCATCCATCCGCGTCTGACCCGAGTCGTGTGTAAAGGCAAAGTCATCCTGCGAAAGACGGGGGTACCAATCAGCCTCCCTTTTGTGGCATCTCATGTTTCGATATGAGAATAAGTACTCAAGACACCTTAGCACATGCATCCTCATATCACAACAAATGTGATGATCAAGATAGTTTTCGAACCAGATGGTGCATGGTTCAACTGAAGTTTGGCCCTGATTGGCAGAAGCCTTTCATCCTAACAGATACAAACAACACCTTCAAATTCCAAGTTGCAACCGGCGGGTGCCTGCAGGACCCATGTGGTTTAGATGACAACATCACTCCGGAAAAACCCAGAAAATGGCCTTATCGCACAGGTGAGTCAATGCCAAGCAAAAACAACACACAAAAGTTCAAATGCATTTTCCCATGGCCATGGCCAGGTCTCCACATGTTTCAAGTTGTGTCTAAACTGCCGTACAATTGCGCAATATCTTACATATGTCCACCGACCCGCAAAATAACATTCTTGGATGTCGTATTCGTGCAGCATGTCTTTGCAAGGAACGTTCGATGCTGTGAAATTCTATGCCTCGAGGCTTTGTGGCTATGTATTCTCTTCCGGCTTAAACCCACTCGTCCTAAAGGCTAGGTCCCGATTTACTCAAGTATGTATTATAATCGTCCATGTGATGCTAGCCTACGCACAAGGGGTTTTTCTTACCTCATTTCGCACCGCGCCTCCTCCTCCCGGACGCAGCACCTCTCCACGTTTGGCATCACACTTGCGACGTCACGGCTACCCAACAATCTCCAACAAATCGGTCAACACAATGCGGAGAAGCCTCTAACTGAATTGAAGAAGAAGTCTTTCGAAATGGCGGATACCGCCTTCGCTCAAGAATTTTTTTCCACCTATCATACGTGACCCATGCTGCCGCCGACATAGCTTGAAGTTATTTAGTCAGATTGGAGATATGAAATACCAGATGAAGATTCTAGTCACGTACGCATTCCACCAATCCGACAAAAAACAATTTGAACAACTTCGGAACGCAATTTAGCTATGTATCCTGTGCTGCAATGATTGCAATATTGATGATGACACCCTCGTTTGGCCCTTTGATCATCATTTCGGAACAACTCCAATCCCGAGTCCGTTCCTGTCCCTCCAAGCCCCATTCAAAAGGCAGTTCCCGACATGCATCAACAAATAAACCGTTTGATCGGAAGTTACGACGTCGATGTATCCAGGGCATCGACAGGCCATTACTCTCAAAATGAAACGTCTTGCGAGATGGGCTTACGACGCGATGGCGGGGTACGCTTCATTATGTATTATGACTGAATGGCAATTACGTTATACCGAATAGACGATCAACGATCTTCGCGACCACCTACGTACGCATCGTCAAGACGTCTTATACATCGAAGCACTCATCTAATCTCGAGCTCGATCATGTGATTGTGATTGTGATTCCTCCCCAAGATCGATATGCATGTATTAATCATCGAGCGTCTTCTACCCGAAGAACCTCGTGTGGATTAGACTGGCTCTTGGGTTTGGTATGGGTACTTGGCGCCTGGCATTTGGCCCTCGATAACCCGCTCTAGATGGCCGGAACATCCTTCTCCGCCTTCGTCCATCGGAATTTTAATGAGTCTTCTTCTATTGTGCCTAAGGTTCGGGCGAAGATCAAGCTAGCGCTCAAGGTTCGTACCTGGTCAGGTTTGGATGTATGATATCTATGCGTTAACGTTTATCCTGATAACCTTTCAGATCTAATGCGGACACCGTTCTACGGGACTGAGCGCGCGAAGGGATTCACTATCTTCAGCGCCAACGTCGATATCCCGCCTTCGCGCGCACAACATCTAATATAATGGAGCTTGATGCGCGCGAAATCTAATGAGCTCGAGGATAACAGGGGGATCGTCCCGACGAATATGAATACGAATACTAAATTCAGTCGCTTGTTTTCGTTTCATTGATTGCTGGGTTTGCGCTTCGATACTAACATAGGAAGTTTTAGCAGCCTGGGTTGTCGGACCTTGTTTTGATGGCCTCCTCGTTCCACGGGCTGACGAGAACACACATGTGCATTGTCATCATATGCTGCGCCTAAGCATATAGTCACCTGAACACCAGGACATCCTTCTTCGTCCTTGTCCATCGCAACAATTGAGGTTTCTTCCAGAAGTGGCGTGCTTCGGGCGAAGATCAAAGGTCTTATATAGTACCTGGTCAGGTTCGGATGCAGTATGTCCAAGTATTAGGTCTAACTGATAACCTTTCAGATCAACTGCGGATGCCGTCCTATACACAAGGCTGGGATAACATAAGAAATGGAATTAATGAGCTTCGTCAGTACTTGTCGATATCCCGCCTTCGCGCAAGAAATCTAATTGAACTTGAGGCCTCGAGGGATTATTATCTCGATGTATATCCAATTTAATCGCTCGTTTCTTTGATCGCTGAAGCGCTGACTGTTGGCTTGTACACTTCGATACTAATTCGCAGCCCATGTTATCGGGTCGCCTCCCCTGTTCGGCATGCCCGAGAAACATCCGCGCCCATGTGCAATGTGCATTACCACAATCACACGTATTGCAGCACGCCGCCACACACCGACGTATATGGAACAAACGCAATCACCTACCAAGGATAATATTGCCTGGCTTCGAATAACTCTTGGGCATCCATCGCCGTAAGTTTCTTCCAAGTTTCGGTCTCTGTACCTGGCCAGGTTTAGATGTACAATGTACAAGCGTAAGTAATGGACTACTTATCCTAATAGCCTTTCAGATCCATTGCGGATGCCGTCCTATACACTTGGCTGAGTTCGCCTAAGGAATGTAATTAATTAGCTTCCAGTGTCGATATCCCGCCTTCGCGCACGAAATCTGATTGAGCTTGATAATAGCAGAGGGATGATCATCACGATGAATATCCAGTGACTCATTGAACACTGATATTGATGGCTCACTTATGCACTTCGATAATAACACAAGAAGTTCTCCCAAGCCATCATCTTCTCCGTCCCGCATGTTCCCAAGAAACGGAAACACCCACGTGCATGTGCATTGTCAAAATCACACGACACTACTCCCACCGAAACATGCGGAACAAGGGCATAGTCAGCTCGCTTAGAAAGGTAGGCGAACAACTACTCACGAAAGGCCCCGTCTCTGAGACAGTTCTGCATGTACCATCATTTCGGGGCGCGTTGATCAGCTTACCAATGATGCATATGAAGCGGTCACCCATATGCATGATGTACGATCCTGCGAGACAAGATAGGAAACGCGACATCGCTAAGAAGGGGGTACCCGAGCTCGCCGCATCTTTGTGCTATTATCGGTTTCATACTTGCATGCGCATATGGCTGATCGCGCCTCCTTCTAATAATATAATAGGAGTTGGATCAGAGTTCTCTTCGCGATGCGGATGGGTGTTGCCATCGTGCGTCGGGATCGACTCGCCGTTTATGTGAAAGAGATGTCTCGATGAGCATCGGGGACTTGGTCTCGTATCCATAATGAGTGCCCATAGTATGCAATGTGGCAGTTCACCGCGATCGTGATTCTAGAATTGATGATGATGGGCTTCTAAAGCTGGGCGATGGTTTCATATCAAGATCAGTATCAGACGATATTGCACATGGTGAGAAGATGGGCGGATCGTTGTGAATACGCCACGGATTGTGAACTTGGCAAAACAGTATCAGACGATCGCAATCAATATTCGGTGCACTTGATGGTAGTAAGGAAGGTTCAACAATATTGGAAATGGGACTGCAGTGAGATGACGGGAAGCAGTCGCATGCACATTGATCGAGTGATCCCATAGACTGAGAATGGTGGCAATCTGAGAGTCTGAGTTAGATGATAGAAAGTAAGGTCATAACTCACCGGGGAGACAACAATCAGGCTCCTCCATCTCCATTTTATGATGTATCTGTTATGATTTGTGGAAGTTTCGAGTTTCAGGCTACTAAAAAACCTCGGCCAATCACAACAGATGCATATGGTCCATAGTGCTAGTGGTGTCGAAAAACGAATATGAACGGTTGACTTTGGTCGACCTAACATGAGTTTGGTCCTGATTGGCAAAGGCCTCTCATCCTAACATATACAAACAACGCCTTCAAAATTGTAAGTAGGGAACTTACCAGTGCTCTAGATCTACATGGCGACATCACTCGGGAAACGCAGGCAAAGAGAAGAAGACGCACAACCCTCACTACCACACGGGTAAGTCGATACTTGCTCATCAAACCACACAACATAACATTGCACTTTGTCAGGTCCACACTATTCGTATCCAACCTCCCTTACGATGCAACATCCACCGACCTACAAACAACATTCTCAGACCTAGCACCCGTGCGCTACGCTTTTGTCGTATCCAAGAAAGGATCTGGGGAATCCAAAGGTTTTGGTTATGTATCCTTTTCTATCAAGGAGGATGCGCAGACTGCTTTCGATACCGCGTCGACTGAGGGGATCGAGATCAACGGGAGGAAGTTGAGGGTCAAATGGGCGGATAAGAAGATGGTGTGTTTCGTTGTCGTTTATCCGTGGATGGGTTTCTTATGGGTGGAGTGTAGGACAAGGACAAATTTGAAAGCTCGAAGGAGCGCGTTGAAAAAGATAAGTTTAGAAGCTCAAAGGAGCACGTTACAAAGGAGAAGAAGCGAGAAGCGAAAAATCAAGAGGTGAAAACGCAGAAAGTGATAAAGCAGGAGACAAAAAAACGCGAGCAGGAAGTACAAAAGCAGGAGGAAAAGGCGAAGCTTGAAGAGGTCAATGAGAGTGACGCCGAATCAGATGATGTTGAAGAGGGTGATGTCAAGATGGTCGACGTTGAAGATAATGAAGCTGAGCTAAGTGGTGCTGAAGACGAAGAGGAGCAGTTGGGTCTTCATGAAGACGAGCACAGCGACGAGGACGAGGACGAAGACATCGAAGATGACGACGAGAAAGAAGCCATAAGTGTTGAACATCACCAACGTCCCATGAAACCTCAGCTACCTCAAACGGACACAGGTACCACACTCTTCATCCGCAATATCCCCTTTATTGCTACAGAAGACGAACTACGGGCACTGTACGTGTACCTTCCCCCACCACCCGTGTGTGCTAATACTTCATGGTGTAGATTCCGCACATTTGGGGCTCTGCGGTATGCTCGAATTACCGTCGAACCAGGCACTGAACGTTCGCGAGGAACCGGTTTCGTTTGCTTCTGGAATAAAGAGGTCGCCGACAAGGTGATCGAGCAAAGCGAGCTTTTGCGCGCCGAAACTATGGCTCGCAGCAAGTACGTCTCACTCTCCGATGTGCGATGTGTCTCTGACACCTCTTAGCCAACAAAAAACCCATTTACCCTGCCGTCAATCTTGACACCTGACCCGTCTTCGGGCGTAGCTAAAAGTCTTGTACTTCATGGTCGCACGTTGGATGTCGTGAGAGCTGTCACGCGGGATCAAGCAGGCAAACTGAAGGATGAAGGCGAGAGAAGACGAGAAAAGGCAGACAAAAGAAATCTTTACTTGTTGCGTGAAGGAGGGTAAGGTCGATTTTATTGTCATCCCTGTTATCTTTGTAAACCAGAATTCTCCAGTCATCTTGCCCAATACGCCAGCGGCCAGCACTATACCACCTATTGAACTGGAGAAACGGACCAATTCATTCACTGCCCGCCGCACGATGTTGCGGACAAATCCTTCCTTATACGTATCGAAGACCCGACTCAGCGTTCGCCAGATACCCCTATTCGTCACTGAGCGGACTCTCAAACGCCTCGCCCTCCACGCTCTTCGTACATTCAAAGATGAAGTCCAAAAGGGAGAAACGCAACGGTTTGACTCCCGAGGAGCTGGAAGAAGCTACCAAGGAATCCGATGAACCAGACGACTCTAGCACGAAACCGAAGGTTGGGAAACGATCGCAGGGAAGCAAATCCAAAGTCCAGCAAGCCAAAATCGTACGTCAACATGAACGAGTAGATCCTGTCACAGGAAAAGGTCGCAGCAAAGGTTACGGATTCATCGAGATGCCGCGGCATGCGGATGCGCTACGCGTTCTTCGATGGGCCAACAACAACCCTGCTGTTACGCCACTTTCTGAGCACCTGGTGGAAAGAAGAGCTCGGAGATCTCATCAAGCTCGAGAAGGGAAAGGGGGAGTCTGATGAAGCTAGACTGAAGCGGATGAAAGATGAGCTAGAAGGCCAGGTGAAAACACCTAAGGGTACGCTTATTGTGGAATTCTCCATAGAAAACGTGCAGGTCGTCCAGCGAAGAGCGAACCAGAACAAGGAAAAACCGACAGCATTGTATGTATGATTTACTTCTATGATCACTATTTTCTGACTTGGATTTAGACACGCGTCCCAAAAAGCCACGGTGTGAAACATCTCAAGAACCGCCTATGAAGAAACGACGCGTTGTGGCTGATGAACCGCCAGCGAAGCCTGTGAAAGAAGAACATGGTAATGGTAGTCAGAGCATCGGCGCAGTCATCGGTAGAAAGAGGAGGGAGCGCAAAGCTGCCAAGAAGGGCGGAAAGTAGCCCTCGAGTGCTGTCTTGATGTGTTCTGTCCCTTTCTCGTATTGACTTATCCCGCTTAAATTGACCACAGTATCATCAACTGTCATATCTTATGTTGGGTCACCTACCGAAGGCTGATAACAGTATAAGACTCGCTGTGTTTTGATCATTGGGGGATGCCATATGTATCTGTGGCAGCGGGTTTGGAGCGGCCCGGGAGAGGCAAGCAGAATTTAATCCTACAGCTCTCACGGCCATAATATCAAGGACTCATCGATATCAATCCACTGATGCCGTGATGCATTATTTTTATGATCCCGCCGTTATCGATGAAAGCACACGGGTCAACTAGTTCACAAGCTGCGTATTATAACCAAGGCCACAGAAGAATAAGGTCTTACCAAACGTCTATTCACTGCGCATCGTGACTTATTGTACTTATGTCTGACCCTCAAGTATGGCTAATCACAGGTGAGTTATCCTTATTTCCTGTGGCCGCGTTGGCGCATATCAAATTCCAGAGATAGCAGTAACTTACGCCGATCATATAGGTACATCATCAGGCTTTTGGTCGCCGTCTAGTATCAATCGTTCTAGAACGCGGTGATCGTGTAGTCGCGAACGGCCCGATCTCTGCAGACAATACAAGATTTCCCCCAATCTCCGAACTTGCACCTCCTAGAGCTCGATGTGACTTCTTGGAATAAACTGTCATCAAGGAACGGGTGGATGAGGCGGCTAAGGTGTGGGGCAGGATTGACGTGTTGGTGAACAATGCGGGGTATTGGGCTGCTGGGACTCCTCGAGGAATGCGGGTTAGGACACAAACATGTCTTTTTTCCCGTGCCTAATGTATGTTATCGGTCTAAGGGCAGACAGGATGATAAGACAATTCCGCCCTAATGTCTTCGGTGTGGCTGGACGTCACGAATGCAGCATTACCATACATGCGTGAAAGTAAGTTTCCGGGAATGTGTATGTAACACGCGCTTTGAGCTCTGCAGGGAAGAGTGGTACAGTAGTCATTATCGGGAGTCGTAGCGCCTGGAGGCCTGAACTCACGGTAAGTAGCTTTATCCATGGTCGATAGTGGTTTAAACAACGTCTGTTTCATGGACTTGGTGAGTTGCGCTTTTAAGATATTCCGTGGTTGACCATGCTACGGCTGGCAGGCGCTTATGCCTCATCAAAGGCAGGCTGTGCGGGGTAAGTCAGCGTGTACACGTTTAGCATCGTTCATCGACTGAAAATTCCTGCAGTAATGGGCGAAACACTTGCCGTGGACTCGCACCATTCAACATACGCGTCTTAACGTCGAGCCTGGCGCCTTGCACCGACACGAAAACATATGCAGCAATAAATTTGACAGCTGGACGAATCCTATACCTGATTATGATGAAAACACGAACCACAGGCAGAGGCGAGGCATGAGGCTACCCCTGGAAATCAACCAGGAGATCCCATGAAGGCAATGAAAATTCGTCGTAGACGTCGTAAGAGGAGAGGTGTTGCAGCTGGAAGGGAGTGGCCGTTGTATCTCGTCTTGGGAGAGGAATGCAGAGAGGGATGTCAGAAACAAATGCATGATGATGTTGAAGCATCTTGATGAAATGGCAGGACGTAATCCGGGACGTGAATCTATGAACCGATCAATATCACACAAACTATGTATAGGGTAATCATTATGAATACAGGATGGAGATGTGCACTTGATTCTTTTTTGGTCTCGAGGAAGAAAAAAGGTGCATTGTCGTGAACCTCTTCCTTCTTTATGATCTGGCTAGGAGACTACCAGGAGCTGAAAATATACGGACCATCGTCAGCAAATGTCAGGGAAAGTGAGCCCCTTTCACATGCCAAAACTGGCTCACGAGCACGCTCACTATATGCGTGCGTGATGACTACTTCAATTTATGGAATAGCTAAGTGTGAGCCACCTACTCTTCGACTGAGACGCAAAGAATAAGTCACGCATGCGCTGTCAAGTTCGTGAAAAAATTACAAGAGTTTTTGACATACCATCGTGGTGTTTGATGTATTGGTCATTGATTGATCAGGAGCTGGTAATGCTTATTGTCTGGTGTGATTTCTGTATAACTGGCTTGTGACTAGCAACCCACAACGAAAGATTAGGAATCAGATTGCAGCTGTGCATGACGCCTCCTAAATTCATATTGCCCCCAATTTTGCAGTACATGATTGTTCAAATTAATCTGACATTAGGTGACGGCGTACCATTCGCTGCATCGCGGGTCGGCAAGAACCCTCATCTCTGCCTCAAGGAACAGATGAGGGAAAGTTTATGAAATCCTCTGCCTCTTCACAGGTCTGCGGGTGCGCTACGCGTTCTTCGGTGGAAACAACAACTCTGCTGTCACGCCACTCTGAGCACCTGGTGGAAAGAAGAGCTCGGAGATCTCATAAAGCTCGAGAAGGGAAAGGGGGATCCTGATGAAGCTAGACTGAAGCGGATGAAAGATGAGCGCTCTAGAAGGCCAGGTGAAAACACCTAAGGATACGCTTATTGGGGAATTCTCCATAGAAAACTAGACTCGTGATCAGCCCGTCTATGAGGCGCAGTGCGCACGTCACGTCAACATAGCGAAAGTTATAAGCATTGATTTTGTATTACGTTGAAAAATTCACATTCTTTCATTGGCCAGAAGTCACGTTATCCTGCGAATCCGCTCGACATCCAAATTCAAACCCAGTTTTACCAGTCTGTCTAGACGGGCTGGTCACGAGTCTAAGCTCATAATATCAAGGACTCATCAATATCAACTCAGTTATACCGTGATGCATTATTTTTATGATTCCGCCGTTATCGATGAAAGCACACGGGTCAACTAGTTCACAAGCTATGTATTAATAACCAAGGCCACAGGAGAATAAGGTCTTACCAAACGTCTATTCACTGCGCAGCGTGACTCATTCAGTACTTAAGTACTTATGTCTGACCCTCAAGTATGGCTAATCACAGGTGAGTATCCTCATTTCCTGTGGCGCATATCAAATTCCAGAGATAGTAGTAACTTACACCGATCATCTAGGTACATCATCAGGCTTTGGTCGCCGTCTAGTATCAATCGTTCTAGAACGCGGTGATCGTGTAGTCGCGACGGCCCGATCTCTGCAGAAATCCAAGATTTCCCCCAATCTCCGAACCTACACCTCCTAGAGCTCGATGTAACTTCTGGAATAACTGTCATCAAGGAACGGGTGGATGAGGCGGCTAAGGTGTGGGGCAGAATTGACGTGTTGGTGAACAATGCGGGTATTGGGCTGCTGGGACTCCTCGAGGAATGCGGGTAGGACACAAACATGTCTTTTTTCCCGTGCCTAATGCATGTTATCGGTTTCAGAGTGGACATGATGACAAGACAATTCCGAACTAATGTCTTCGGTGTGCTGGACGTCACGAATGCAGTATTACCATACATGCGTGAAAGTAAGTTTCCGAAGATGTGTTTGTAACACGCGCTCTGAGCCCTGCAGGGAAGAGTGGTACACTAGTTATTATCGGGAGTCGTAGTGCCTGGAGCCTGAAATCACGGTGAGTAGCGTTATCTATGGTCGACAGTGGTTGAACAACGTCTGTTTCAGGGACTTGGTGAGTTACCGCCTTTTAAGT